TTCTCCCCCTCACTTCTTAGCTTTAGGGTTTTTTTTTCTTTTCTTGTTGTTATGGGTAGTGGGTTTTGGGTTTTTTTATTTGATAGGTGTGTGCTATTTTATTCAATGACCAGATACTCAGCAAACCCAAGCAGAGACATGATAGCCAAAACAAATTAAATCAAATTCAGGGGCTGGACATATACAGTGGGTAAGGCACTTTTCTTACTCACGGCTGACTAAGATTTGGTCCTCGCACTCCATATGGTCCCTCAGTCCTGGCCAGAAGTAAATCCTGAGCACCCCAAAGTGTGGCCCCAACTGCCCCCCCCAACAAAAAAAAAGCAAAATTAGTTTTCTTATTAGATATGTGAGTTTCTTAGAGGTGTTGGAGGCGTTGGTGTCCTTGTCAACACAAACTTGGCCAAGAGCATTGATTCATTCAAATGCCTAACAACCCGAATCGGACGTTTACATTTGAATAGATGTGGCTCACTGCCTGCAGTTTCTATCTTCCTTGTCTACGCACCAACATCTCATTATGATGAAAGAGAAATCGAGAAGCTCTACATGGAGCTAGAGAAGTTCTATAAAGAAGACCACACCTTCTACAAGATCATTGTGGGTGATTTTAATGCCAAGATAGGACCGAGAAGATCAGCTGAAGAACTTCACATCAGGACCCATGGCCTAGAATGGAACAAACAGGGTGAGAGACTGTCTGAGTTCATCATGTCGACCAAGACCATTCATGGTAACTCACAGTTCCAGAAGGCAGAATCTAAACGATGGACATGGGAGTCTCCCGGTGGACGATTCCACAACGAAATAGACCACATCATATTCAATCGACGGTTTTGCCTGACCGATGTCGTTGTTGTCCCAAAATTTCGAATGGGATCGGACCACCGTCTCCTTCGTGCAAAATTCTACTTCACAGAGCGGGGAGAAAGGGCTGCAAAGTTCAAAAAGAGAACTCCCAGAATGACCACCAACTGGGAACTCTTTGGTACTATTGCGGCAACATGGGAAGATGCCATTGTTGACAACATTGACGAGGAATACGATCGACTGGTTCAGCACCTCCATGAATGTGCGAGGAACGCCAAGAGAGAGATAGCCACAAAAAATCGCCTATCTTCGAAAACTCTTGAGCTAATTCGCCAGCATGGTTTGGCGCATGCCTCAGGCAACCACAAGCTAACTCTGAGATCGCAAAGCAGTGCAGAGATGCGATCAAGGAAGACCTCAAAGAGAGAAGAGCAGAAGTACTGGTAGATGCGGCAGAAGCCGGGAAAAGTATTCGTAACGCCCGCCTGTCCTTCGCCAACTACAAGACCAAGATGACTGCCCTCCGACGTCCTGATGGATCCATCACATCCTCCAGAACGGCAATGGAGAAGATTATCCATGACTTCTACTCAAATCTCTTCGACAGTCATGTCCATTTGCCGACATACGAAATTCCACAGGATGGATATGTTGTTCCCAACGTTCTCCCTTCCGAAATCCGACACGCCATTTCGTCGGTAAAGAAACAAACAGCACCCGGCCCAGACAAGGTCAGACCTGAACACCTGAAGAACCTGCCGTCAGTACTCATCAATACACTGGCTCGGCTCTTCACTCGCTACCTGTCTGAATGCAAGGTTCCGTCCCAATGGAAAACCAGCAGGACCGTACTACTGTTCAAGAAGGGAGACATCCATGACATTGGCAACTATCGCCCGATCTGCCTATTGTCTGTCATCTACAAGTTGTTCACTCGAGTCATCCTAAATAGGATTGGCAGAACACTAGATGAAGGACAACCATGCGAGCAAGCCGGATTCCGCAAAGGATTCAGCACCATCGACCATATCCACACGATAACCAAGCTCATTGAGGTTTCTCGGGAGTTCAAGATGCCGCTCTGTTTAACGTTCATTGATTTAAAGAAGGCCTTTGATTCTGTTGAGACAGAAGTGGTCATTGAAGCCCTAGCCAATCAGGGCATTCAAGCCCAATACATCAGGATCCTCCGTGAGCTGTATTGCGGATTCACTACCAGGATCTCACCATTCTACAAAGAAGTGATCATTGATATCAAGAGAGAGGTGCGGCAGGGTGATACCATTTCACCGAAACTCTTCAGTGCCACCCTCGAGAACATCATGCGACGACTGGAATGGGAAGGAATGGGAGTGAAGATAGATGGTCGGCAACTACGCCACCTCCGCTTTGCTGATGACATTGTTTTAATAACACCAAACATTAGCCAAGCGGCACAAATGCTGGCCAACTTTGACCGTGAGTGTGGAAAGGTAGGACTACAGCTGAATCTTACGAAGACAATGTTTATGAGAAACAGCCTTGTTCCTGACGCCCCATTCGCTCTCAATGGAACGACCATCTCCGAATGCAACAGCTATGTGTACCTAGGTCGAGAGGCCAACATGACAAATGACCTGGCACCCAAGCTGCGCAGGAGGAAGAGAGTGGCTTGGAACGCCTTCAAGAGCGTCGAAGAAATAGCTAAGAGGACGAAGACCCTCCGGCTCCGGGCACATCTCTTTGATTCCACTGTTCTTCCTGCATTAACATATGCCTCAGAGACCTGGGCCCTACACAAGATGAGAACGCTATTCAGATCTCCCAAAGAAGAATAGAAAGAGCTATGCTTGGAATATCACATTTCACTCAAATGAGAGAAAGAATCTGGAGTTCTGACATCCGTCGACGATCAAGAATCAGGGACGCTGTCTCATTTGCCAAGGTGTCAAAAATCAGATGGGCTGGTCACGTAATGAGATTTAAATATTACCGCTGAACTAGAGCTGTTACCAACTGGATTCCACGGGATGTCAAAAGACTGCGTGGCCGCCCACCTTCCAGATGGTCAGACTTCTTCGTCAAGGTCATGAACGATCGGTTTGAGGCCCTTCATGTTCCAGGAGGGAACAGATGCCATTGGGCTACACTAGCATGCGACACGGACAAATGTAGACGTTACTGGTGCCAGCTCGAGCAAATCGACGACTAACGGGAAGTTAAGTGATTAAGTGATGTGAGTTTCTTATGACTACCATTATAAATTATCACTAATTTGGAGCCTTAAAACAACTGAAATTTATCATTTCCTAGTTCTAGAAACCCATATTCTGAAGTCAAGGTATCAGTTGGTGTGGGCTGCACTCACAGCCTTAGAGGGAGAATCTATCCCTTGCCCTTCCTGCTCCCTGGCTTGTGCAGCTACCAGCAGCAATCTTCACGCTGTCTTGTCTTCAGTGTGTGCATGAACTCTCCCTGTGCCTCTCTCTTACATGCATGGATATGCTACAGCTTTTATGCCCACCCAGGGTAGTGTCTGCACCATGATTACATTTTTTTTCAAATAAAGTAACATTCACAGGGTCTGAGAATTAAGATGGGTACCCAACTTTACAGAACAGCTCTGTTTATGTTTGGGGAAGAGGGTTCACTGTCACTGTCACTGTCCTCCTGTTGTTCATCGATTTGCTCGAGCGAGCCCAGTAACATCTCCATTGGAGACTTTGTTGTTACTGTGTCTGGCATATCGAATACATCACGGGGAGCTTGCCAGGCTCTGCCGTGTGGGCGAAATACTCTCGGTAGCTTGCCGGGCTCTCCGAGAGGGGCGGAGGAATCGAACTCCGGTCGGCCGTGTTGGCTGCATGCAAGGCAAATGCCCTACTGCTGTGCTATCGCTCCAGCCCCAGGGGAAGAGGGTTCATCTCCCTATTTTCTTTCATTCTTTGTGGCTTTTTCTATGCATTTCATCCTCTTCTTTTTTTCTTTTTCGCTTTTTCTTTTTTTCAATTCAAACCCAGCGGAGCTCGAGGCCCTCTCCTGGCTATGTGCTCAGGGATCACTCCTGGCAGGGCTGGGAGACCTTATATGGTACAGGGGAGATCTAACCAGGTCTGCCATGTGCAAGGCAAGAGTAATAACTACAAGACACTGATAGTCCTCACTAGCCTTGAGTTTCTTTGATACTCTACTTTATTTGGCTATAACCTGGAATGTTGCTGTTTTCAAGCAAAAGTTTCCGTCTCCGAGGCCTAATCACTTTTTCTCCAGGATAACAATGCCACCTATATTAGGGTGGTCAGGGGTACATGCTTTGCATGACAAAGGACCTGAGTTATATCTCAGGTCTTCATGTCCTTCCTACACCCGGAGAGGCCCAGCACCACCGGACCAAGTAGCACTGCATCTCTGGCCAGAGCATGCACCATCTGACCCATTTGGCAGGGTGCTCCAGGTGTGGCCCTGGGGCCCCTAAAACACTACTGTTAAAACTTAATAATTTTCATCTTTCATGGCTGTGAATCGGTTTCACGTCACATTGACTTTGCTCTTCTGAGTAGAACAAAACAAGTGCAGAGAAGACGACGCCCGTGAGCCCTCAAACCATCCTCTGTAATTCTGCACACTTGTTATCTACGTCATGTAGGATGAGAGTTTAGCTTTTGAGGCTCTGGTTATGAGCTACACGTGAGTGCATTAAGTCCTCTGACCTTTAAACTTTTTTTTCTTCATCAGTCTAGATGAGGGCAAGGAGTTTAAGCTGTATCGGAGTGGGGCAGTTTTGCCCTAATTGTATCCCTTACATGTGCTTTCTTTGCCAGTGGCTCTAAAAACCTAGTTTGTTGTATTTAACTGAGGTAAAATAAAGCAAAAGAAGTAGAGTACTGGTAACACTGGCACAATTGAAATATTTCATCTGTTTTCATTCCGAAATAAAATTCTGATCTTGCTTTATAGCTCATAGGTAAAGTTGGTTACAGTGATTGGTAGAAAAATGAAAATAGGTGTGACCTTAATTAAAAACATAAGCAGACATTCAGTACACAAAGGGCTCGTTTCACTTTCTTAAATGGAAATGCAGATTTTTGTAGACTTATAATGAATTTAGTTTTTTGATGTCTTTCTTGCCAAAGGGAGGGCATGCTTAGTAAGATGTTCTTACTAGTAACTGTGGGACTTAAGAGTCCTATTTTTTCTTTTTTCTCTTTTAGTTTGAAAATCTGGACAGGAAGAACAGGGTCTGAGAAGGTAAACATTTTGCTTAAATAATTGACATGGTAGTAAATTTAATTGAACTTGTAATTTCAGAATAAAATTGGGTCTTAGCTTTATGTGAATAGTTTTTCTTAATTCTAAAATTCAGTTTCACTTTTTCATTGTCATTAATAGAATAGCTCAGAAGAGCCCAGTTTTTCTTTCAATTTTTACATATATATGCGTGTGTGTGTGTGAGAGAGAGAGAGAGAGAGAGAGAGAGAGATGCATATACATATTTAGGTGATGTTCCAGTTTGTCCTATTTAAAGTTATTCTGTGTGTCTATGTTAAGTTATGTAAATGTTTCACATTAAAGCAGGGTAGATGTTATCATCACTTGCTAGACTATTTTTTGTCATTTTTTTAGTGTGACTCTACTCCTAGGAGAAAAATGGTTTCAGTTATCTGCACATGGCTACCATTGTAAAATGTTTAAAGCTTTTAGGTACTACAGTGACCTTGTTTTAAGCAGTGCTTCTATGGACTGGTTTTTGCATGGTATTAATGAAAGTCCTTGTGTACGCTGGTTTCGACTTGGTGCAGCATGTCAATTCTGGATAGCCATTGCGATTCAGAATTTGAGATTTTGAGATTAGAATTCACGTAGAAAGCACGGGGGTAGCAAAATATTGAAAAGTTTACTCTCTGATGGCCTGGATGATAATGCTCTAAGAATATATAAAGCTTTGACTCCCCACTCTTTCATAAACAGATTGTGAAGACTGCTGAGAGAGGCTTGCAATCTCTTCACATAAGCATAATAAAGAAGTATTGGTCCTCATGGAAGAAGAGCAAGATTTACCGGAGCAACCAGTAAGTATTTCTTTTAACAATTGAGAATTGATTGCAAAAAACTAATCTTATGAGGCTTTAAACATTATTCTGTTATACTGTAGCTTCCAAATTAAAAATAAATATAAAAATAATCTATTATTTTCCCTCTAGGAAAGCAGAGTGTTTTTGTTGCTGAATAATATTTTCTGACTTAAATATTAAATCAAGGAGTTTGCTTAGAAAACTTAGCATTAGAAAATACTTACTGTAAATGTCTCTTTTTTAAAAAAATCAAGGAATGTTTTTACAGTTTTGAGAAAAAAATCAAGGAATGTTTTTACAGTCTTGAGAAAATAAGTTTTATCCATATATTGCTATTGCTAGAGAATTTAGTTTTATCTTTTCCTAAATTCCCTGACTTACTTAACAAATGGTAAAATTGGAACCCCTGGCCAAATCTAAGTAACAAATAAGACTTAGAGACTATATTGAATTTTATATTTCTTTATTTAAAATAATTTTAAGTGTCCCTAAGTAGTATGAATTTATTACTTTACCATCACTTTTTTTTGACTTTTCAAAGAAACAGTGATTTTTCTTTTTGGCCCACACAGCAGTTGCTTAAAAGGAAGGCTGTAATAATCATCTTCTAAAAGATACTTCTATTTTTACTTTTGTTTTGAGGCTTTTTTTTTCCCTTCTAAAATCAGATGAAAACTAACAAAATACTACCATTGAGTGAATTTATTAAATTTCATATTATGAGAAAATATGAGAAAACATATAGACTGTTCTGTATAAAATTCAACCTAGAAAATTTTGAGATTTTAAAATAGGGTTTACTTTTTATATTCAAGTTTTCATCTTTATATTAAAAGGAAAAAATTAAGAGAAACATGAACATTGGATTCTCTTAAAACCATGACATCTTCACATAGATGCTGATTTTTGATGATATGCACCTGAAACGTATGCACCTGAAACAAACAAGTGTAGTTAACTTCCAAAAAAGTGATTTTCTTTAATATAGTTTTAATATTTTTTTATATTGTGAAATGCATACTTGGTGATTATTGTATTTTTAAGCTCTCTCACTTAAGATACATATTAAACTAGAAAGATGCATACAATCGATGAAACAATCTTTTGAAACATTTGGTCATTTTAAAAGTCCTACCATATATCCCTGGTAGGACTTAAAATGAAGGAAATGGTAGGGTTAGAAATGATCCCGTGTGCTGCAACAGTGGTACAGAAAGTGGAGTGCTTGCCTTGCATTCGGCCACCACAGGTTGGATCCTCGGCATCCCATGTGGTCCCCCGGGCACTGCCAGAACTAATTCCTAAGTGTAAAGCCAGGAGTAACCCCTGAGCATCATGGGTGTGGGTCCCCCGACTCCATAAAAGATCTTTATCTGTAGAGTGTCAGGCTGAGTGAAGGTAGTAAGAGGAGAGAGAGGGACAGAAACAGAGTGATCTCTCTCCTATGTGGGATAGAAAGAAACATAACAGGAGAATAACAAATGCCCAGAAGCAATAGAAAAAAGAGAATAAGAACTGGTTTCCAGGAGGAAGCCTGCCACTGGAGTGGGGACTGGAGTAAAGGAGTAGTCCAGGGAAGGGTATAACATGACGTTGGTACGTTGGTGGAGGAATGTGGTCACTGTGGAAGAGAACAGAGTGCTGAGAGCAGATATAAAACACATGCCATAAAGGCGTGCTGGAGGCCGGGAGAGAAACTGGGGGATGCTGAAACACTGTATGTCAGAAACTCAATCATGAATAACTTTGTAATTGTGGTTTCAGTTTTAAAAAATGATCCTAAGTAACATATCTAGTTGTAAAACTAAATAATGAAGTAAAGAGACTAAATATACCAAGAAAAATTGTTACTGGATTTTCTTAAAGTAGTAAGACAAATGCAGTCAGGGCTGGAGTTACAGTACAGCAGATAGAGTGCTGGCCTTGCACACGACCGGCCCAGGTTCAATCCCTGGCACCCCATATGGTACCCTGAGCCCACCAGGAGTAACCCCTGAGCACCACCAGGTGTGGCCAAAAAAAAAAATGCAGCCATAGTTACCAAAGATTGAAGAATTGACATACTATTATAAAATTAGTATTGTTAGTTCATAAGGTCATATAAGTTGTGTTGGTGACCTGCTAGGAATTTTGTCATGTTCTGTTTAGTTTAGGGTTTTTTTGTTTTGGGGGTGGGGGGTGAGGGGTGGTAGTACACCAGACAATGCTCAAGGGTTACTCTTGGCTCTACACTCAGGAACCACTCCTGACAGGTTTGGGGAACCATATGAAATGCTGGGGATCAGACACAGGTTGGCTGTAGGTCAGGCAAGCACCATCCCCGCTGTTCTCTCTTCAGTCCCCGTGATCTGTTTTGGCTCAGTAGCATTCAGTGCTGTGCTGTGCAGACCTAATGTGCTGGGGACCGCCAAGGGCCGCAATCCTGTTGAGCCCAGGGACCATGAGTGCCATACTCACCTTGGGGCCTCTGCATGCCCAGGCATGCACTCCGGCTGAAAGCAAAGCCCAGTGTCACCTAGTTTCCTTAGATTGGAGAGGTATGGGACATCACGGCCTCGGGGGAAGTGTCAGTGTTGGCGAGGAAGTAGGGAGGAGGGAGAGGAGAGCATGGCTGGCCACACAGCATTGAGTGGACTTTCTGCGAGTCAGGCCAGGGCGAACAATTTAGGATTCTGAGTTTGAAGAGTTCCAGGGAATTGTCACTGGATGCCACTGTCTGGCCCTGGGTGGATTTAGAGCAGGAGAAATGCTGAGTGTGTAAGCTTAGAGCGGGTTATTTTAAGTGCTTTTGACTACAGCTTTTTCCCATGGCTGGGAAAAGGCTGAGAAACCTTGTTTCCTGCCTGTGACCTCCAGGTCCTAATAGCTGCCCCTGGACTTGTAATCCCTCCATTTGCATGATTTTTACCTGTGTTCTCCCTGGAATATCCTGGGGGCCCACAGGAGACCTGAAGTCTCGGGCTAAACCACTGCTTTAAATCACAGGGGCTATGAAAAACAGACCCTTGGTTTCACCCTGTGATTAATGCCAAGTAAACAAACACAAAATCTAAGAAAGCATAGAATACATATTAGCTGTTAAAAAATAAGGAGCAGAGAGATGGCTCAAATGGCTTGAGCCCGTGCTTTGCATGTAAGAGTCCAGCCTTGATCTCCAGCACGAACCCTGAGCACTGCCAGGTATGACTCCCTCCAGAAAGGTAAGACTGGGGGATGCATGGCGTGACTCAAGTGATAGAATACATGCCTTGCGTAGGAGTGAGGCCCTGGTTTCAGTCCCCAGCACTGCATGCCCTGCACGCCCCAACTCTGAGTGAAAAGCCTGGTCTCTCTCCCTAGCAACACTGGGTGAGATCCTGACACCCAACTCCAACTAGAGCTGAAACAGCAAAAAAAAAAAAAAAACAAGGAAGAAGAAGAAATGTCAGATTTTGAGGAGGAAAAAGTATCCACAGGCTGTATTAGAGGTCTGATTTTGAGTGGAAAGATGATTCTACTCTGAATTGATAATAAAGCCTTCATTTTTATTGTTGTTGTTATTTTCGGGGATCACACCCAGCAGTGCTCAGGACTTACTCCTGATTCTGTTCTCAGGGATCATTGCTGGTGGGGTTCAGGCACCATATATGGTGCCTAGGATTAAACCTTGGTCATTCATGTTCAAGGCAGCACCCTACCTGTTGCAGGGCTCTGGCCCGTCAAGCCAGGATTTCCACTCCCTCCTTTTTTTTTTTTTTTAATCAAATCACCACAGGGTACAGTTTCAAAGTTGTTCATGACTGGGTTTCAGTCAAGTCAAGATTTTTAACCCTGCGGTTGCCTATAGATACAGATGAATGTCGCCGATGGCATCATTAACTGTGGTTTTCTTAATCCCGTCATCTCACTTTCCTGTTCTGTCTTTAACTTCCCCCTATTGCCAGTCACCCCTAAACTTTATGCAGTGAGATGGTTCTCTCTGTGGCCAGCACTTCTTTAAAACCATTCAGTTTTTATCCCTTGGTCTTCATCTTTTTCAGCCACTCTGAAGCACCTCCAACTGTCCAAACTGAAGCTCTTGAATAGTGACAGGAGGCACTAACTAGACTTGATTTGGGGTTCAGAGAAATAAGCAAATTCTTTCTTAGCAAACAGAAAACACTTAAAACTCATGTATAATGATTTGAGGTACTCTCCAAACTCGTTTTTTGTTTTGTTTTATTTTGCGGTGCCAGTGATCAAACCCAGGGCCTCCCACGTGGAGGACATGTGTCCTATCACCAAGCCTTATTCCCAGCTGTGAACCTAAGTTTTAAGGACATACTCATAGGAAAATGTTTTCAAAAAGTATGCACCAAGCCCAGTACTAATTACTTCTCGGGAGGTGGTGGTTCAGAATAAGTCTTTCGTATTTTATTTTAAACAAATATTTACAATGCATGTATGTGTGCCTTTCTACTTAAACCTTATTTATTTTGGTTTTGGGGCCACACCTGACAATGTTCCTGGTTCTGCTCAAGACTGACCCCAGGCCAAGCTTGGGGAACTATATGCAATGCCTGGGGTGGGACAGAGGTGTTTGGGAACAGTCATGATTGAGTCCATGCTTTGTATGTAAGAGGCCCAAGTTAATCCCTGCATGATCTCCCTAGCATAGCCAGGAGTGAGCTCTGCACAGAGAGTTGGGAATACATCCTGTCCGAGTACTGGGTATGAACCAGAAACAAGGAGGAAGGGGAGGGAGGAGGCAGGTTGGCTGGTTGGCTTAGCATAGACAAGAGAGGTGGTACATGCTTACAATCAAAAGTGTATGTGATTTTTACCTCCGGCCCCCTTGATATATGTGGGCCACAGTGACGTCATTAGGTCTCCCATTAAAGAACACTGCTGTAGATAAAAACACTCCTAGAAAAGGAGTGAAGCTTAAAAAAATTATTTTAGGGGCTGGAGCAATAGCACAGCCTATAGTTCTGTCCTGCAGACCTAACGTTTATGAATTTGATGCCTAACCAGTGTTAGTTACTCTCTGAAAAATTAGAGCAAGAGAAGTTTAAAGAAATCTTGGGCTGCTTTCCAAACCCATACTCTTTTTCTTCTTGTTTTGAGTGCTAACCCTAAAATTCAACAATTGTATAGACTTTGTCTTTTATAAACTGTTCTTTAAATTTTATCTTCACAGAAAGAAGCCTTAAGTAGTAGATAGTTGTACCTTTCTTGAGGAAACAAGCAGAAAAATTAACATGTGCATTGAATTAACTCTCAAGAATGAGCCTGCAACCTGGTTGTTCTGAATTCATATGCTGGGTTATTTTTGTTCATTTGCTCTATTACATTCAAAGCATGTATGTAATATGCTGGAGCGATAGCACAGTGGTAGGGTGTTTGCCTTACAAGCGGCCAACATGGCCGACCCGAGTTCGATTCCTCCGCCCCTCTCGGAGAGCCTGGCAAGCTACCGAGAGTATCTCGCCCGCACGGCAGAGCCTGGCAGGCTACCCGTGAGGTATTCGATATGCCAAACAAGTAACAAGTCTCATGATGGAGACGTTACTGGGCCCGCTCGAGCAAATCGATGAACAACGGGAGTACCGTGACTGTGACCATGACATTCAGAGCATGATTTTATATACATATCCCCTCCCCCCTTCTATGGTGCTGGGGAGTGACCACACTGAGCCACATCCCTGACCCTCAAATGATTGTTTTACTTATCAGAGGCACAAATAGAAGTCTTAATTCATGAGCTACCAGTAATTCTCACTTTTTAAACATTTTTTTAAATTAAGATAATGCGATTTAAAAGTTGTTCCTAAGAGTTGTTTTAGGCATACAATATTTCAACATCAGTCCCATCACCAATGTCCCCCCTCCCTTCACCAGTGGGTAATTCTTTTGTTTTTGTGTGGATTTTAGTGATAACATCCCAGAAAAAATTACAATAAAACATTATTATTGAGATGTAATTCATTTTAACTTAATTTGTAAGAGTGATTTTCAGTGGGCTTTTATATACCTCAGTTTTGTAACCAGCAGTAGCGTCCATTTAGTAGCCATGCCTGAATTTCCTTTTCCCTCCCAGCTCTAGGCAGCTGCTAATCTGCTTTCTGTCTAAAGCGTTACCTGTTTGTGGAGATTTCATGTAAATGAAATCACACAGTAGGTAGTCACAAGCTTTTTTCACTTAGTATAGTATTTTTAAGGTTAATCCATGTTCTGGTATATATCAACACTTCATTATCTTTCATTGCTAAATAATATTGTATGGGTTTGTTTTATTTTTCATAGTTATCTTCATCATTAGCATTTTATCATCATCCATAGATCTAGGGATTTCCAGTTTTTGATTATTTTGTGACAATTTAAATGTTAATGTATACTTCATTCTGTTGGAGACAGAACTTTCAGTTTCTCTTAGTTACTTAGCTAGGAATAGAATTGTTGAATTATAAGGTAACCTTTAACCTTTGAGAAACTGCTAGACTATTCTTCTAAGTAGCTGCACTATTTTTTAATTCACTTCATTTTTTTTTTTGGTCTGGTTTTTTTTTGTTCTTTTAAATTTTGGGAGTTATAATGGGCATTGCTTAGGGGTAACCCTTAGCCCTTTATTTCAGGGCTGCCCTGGTGGTACTCCCAGGAGCATGAGGTGTTGGGGTTAAAACCTGGGGCCACCTACTTACTTAGCATGTGTTTATTCCATCCCCTTGGCCTCAGTCTGTTTCTGTATGGCGTTGTTTGAACACGTGCTTTTGTAACCAGTGAGCTCTTCAGGATCCTTTGAGTCATTTTACCTGCACTTAGGGAATTTTCAGGGGAACATAAATACCCAAATCAAGGTGAACGGTAGATCACGAAAGGTAAAAAAGTAGCTGTTAACTCATTCTCCTAACCTGAACTGGTAGAAATAATTTTGGTTATTCCATTTCTGGGCTGGAGCGACAGCACAGCAGGTAGGACCAACGGGACTGCCCTGAGTTTGATTCCTCTGCCCCTCTAGGAGAGCTCGGCAAGCTACCAAGAGTATCTCACCCACACGGCAAAGCCTGGCAAGCTCCCCCTGACGTATTCGATATGCCGAACACAGTAACAACAATTCTCACAATGTTACTGGGCCCTCTCGAGCAAATCGATGAACAATGGGAGGACAATGCTATTCTATTTCTATTAATGAATACATACTCTTGTAAGGAGTATGTATTTTTTTATACTGTAATACAAAGAGAAAGGTTTAATTCTTTAAGGTCTTTATGGAGTACTTCCAGTTTTTGCTTCAGGACCTTATTTGGGGGAGAAGTCCATTAACTAAGTTTGTTACTTTGAGGCTCTAATAGAATTAAGACCATACATTAAGATTCTTCATTGTTGTATTCTTTGTTTTATTTTTGTTTGCTTGTTTGTTTGGGGGCTATACCTGGCAATACTCAGGATTTACTTCTGGCTCTGTGCTCAGAATTACTCCTGGCAGTGCTCCGGGATATGGGGTGCTGAGGATCAAATTCAGTTGGCCACATGCAAGGCAAATGCCTTACCTGCTGTAATCGCTCCAGACTCTATTCTTAGTATGGATAATTGTATAGAGATGGTCAGCAGAGTTAGTGATGCAACCGTCCAGCTCCAAGATGAAAGTGTAAATACATTGCTTTCATCCAGAGAGGTTGAGCCAAGCCTAAATTCTTTCTAACTTCCACTATTGGCAAAGCCTGGCAAGCTCCCCGTGACGTATTCGATATGCCAAACACAGTAACAAGTGTCATAATGGAGACATTACTGGGTCCACTCGCACAAATCGATGAACAACGGGAGGATGGTGACTGTTGGGAAATTATTATCTTACCTATGCAAATAGTACCATCTTCACATGGTTACCCCCAGTGCCACTTTGGAGGCCTATAAAGAATACAAAATAAAAATTAAGATGGGGGGCTCGAGTGATAGCACAGCGGGTAGGGCGTTTGCCTTGCATGCGGCCAACCCGGGTTCGAATCCCAGCATCTCATATGGTCCCCTGAGCACTGCCAGGAATAATTCCTGAGTGCAGAGCCAGGAGTAACCCCTGAGCGTCACTGGGTGTAACCTGAAAAGCAAAAAAAACAAAAGCACTTATTTAAATAAGTAAGTCTGGGGGCGGGGGGAGAGAGAGAGAGAGAGAGAGAGAGAGAGAGAAAAAGTACCTGCCAAAGAGGCAGGTAACGGGTGGGGGGGTGATGGGGAGGGAACCTGAGGATACTGGTGCTGGGAAATGTACACTGGTGGAGGAGTAGGTGTTGGAGTAATGTATGACTGAAATTCAGTCATGAATGGCTCTGTAATGCACCAAAAATAATAATAAAAAATTAATTTAAAAATGTCTGTTATCCAAATTGCCCTAATTACTGTTTAAAACTAGTTTGTGTCCATGTTTGGATAGTTTATTCTGGTTAGTGTTCTCCCTAGAGTAAAAATTCTGGTAAACATTTTGCTTTGAATCTGAAAAGTACATTTTCTTTGAATAGAAAAAACTCCACATGAGAACCAAGGGGGTATATGTCTACATAAGTGATTAGGGGTTTAATTAGCCCATCATTACATTGATGTTTTTTGTGTATATTTTTTTGCAGGTGAAAAAAGCCAAGATGCAGGAATCAGGAGAGCAAACTTTAAGGTGTGTTAAATTGAATTTCTTATGAATTATTGATTCATGGTTTCTGTTGCATGTTGGTTAGTGCATCAGCATAACTTGGGTGGACGACGCTGTGAGTCTTGATGTTTTGAATCTTTAGTGTTTTGTTTGGGGCCGTATCCGATGGTCCGCAGAGGCCTCTGCTGGTCCTGGCTCAGGACTCAACATTCAGTGATGCTGGGCATCAGAACCTAGGGCTCCCAACACAGGATTCGGGGTCCAGCCCTTGTGCTATCTTCCTGGCTCAACATTTCTAAATTTTGGGGGTTTAAAATGGGAATTTTCGGGGCTGGAGAGATAGCACAGCGGGTAGGGCATTTGCCTTGCACATGGCCAACCCGGGTTCACTTAGTTTACCCTCAAAACCCATAAGCACGTTTTTAAAAAAATTATTATTTATTTATTATGTATTTAACAAATGTATCAAACTCATGTATTTTATACTGTGGTGTATAGAGGAGATGGTATATAGAGATCCTTTTTTTTCCCCCCCCTGGTTTTTGGGTTTTGGCTCACACCCAGTTGTACTTCAGGGCTTATTCCCGGCTCTGTGCTTAGGGCTGATCCCTGGCAGTGCTGGGGGACCATGCCAGGATTGAACTTGAATCTGTATGCATGGCAAGTGCCTTAACCCCTGTGCTGTCTCTTCAGAATGTTTAGGTATTTAGGTATGCATAGCTAAGATAATAATGTGTTTGATGATGGCCCCTAGGCCATATCTGCCACTAGGGGCTGTGAGGTGCAGGAAATAAAACTCTTGGCTTCACAAATGCATGACATGGGCTCTCCTCGCCCTTTATGCTATCTCCCTGGCCCGTCAGTCATTTTTCTAAGTGGATAATTTAGTGACATTAAGTTCATTCACGTGGTTGTGCAACCATCACCATCCATCTCCAGAACTTTTTTTAAATTAAATTTGGGGGTTTGCAGTGGGGCCACACCATGCTACTACCCCCAGGCATCATTCAGGTACCAAATGGGCTGGGGATGTGTCCCTTCAGTTGCATGCTCGTCTTTCGCATGTGGGCCCCACTGGGTTGGATCTCTGGCAGTGGGGGAGAAAAAGAGTGTTTTGGTATTGGGATTTGTTTTTCTTTTTGTTTTTGGACCACGCCCAAGCATGTTCAGGTATTACTCCTGACTCTGTGCTCAGGGATCATTGCTGGTGGTGCACAGTGATGCCGGGGTTCAAACCTGGGTCAGCTGCATGCAAGACCTTTACCTCTCTATGATCTCTCTGACCCTGATACAGTGAACTTTTTTTCTATGGATCACACCTGGCAGTGCTTAGGGCCTACTTCTGGCTCAATTATCAGAGGTCATTTCTGGTAGGGCTGGGAGGCCATATGGGGTACGAACTGGGGATCAAACCAGGTTGGCTGCTTTCAAGGCAAGTACCTTACCCCGTGTGCCCCAAATTTACTTATATAGGTATAGATATATATAATGTTTCTTTAAAACATTAGGGACCAGACAGGAGAGATAGTACAAGGGGCTAAGCAGCTTGTCTTGAATGCAGCTGACCCCTCTTCAATCCCTGGCACTGCATTATGTCTCCTGAGCATTGCCAAGAATGAACCCCTGAGAAGCAAATTGGGAATATCCTCTGAGTATCTCCAGGAGTATCCCCAACCCCCTATTGGCTGGGAAGATAGCTCAGGCGACTCATGGTTGGTCCTGGATTTGATCCCAGGCATTGCAGAGTCCTCTGAGCACTGCCAGTAGCAACCTCTGGACACTGAGCCTGGAATAGCACCTGAGCACCAGATACAGGTTGGAAAGCTGTCATATATCATTTAGTAGTAAATCTTATCTTCTTGGTTATTTGGAGCCTCTAGTCCAGCAACCTCTACTTCTCCCTGGAGTATAAACAGCACAACATATTTCTCTCTGGGGTGCATGAAGGTTGTCTGGGTTGGGAAGATGTTGCAATAGAATAATATTGGCAACAGTAATCTTGTACTTTGCTCTAGTGTTTTCTGCTCTCAGTGCTTTTCATATATTAAGTCATTTGTTCCTATAAAACCCCGAATAGCTTCTACTGTAATATCTCATCAGTAGATGAAGAAATTAGTGCATAGAGAAGTTCAGTGATTTGGCTAGCATTGTTAGTTATTAACAGTGGAATATAAATTTGAGTAATCTGACTCTGATTGGGACTCTGCAGATGCTAGTAGAAGGAATAACTAGAGAGTGGAAACTAGGGTAGAAGAAACACAAAAACACTGAGAGATGAAAGAAACGGTTTCAAAATTTAAGTGAAACTCTTCCCACCATTAAAAGACCCAAACATAAGGTTAAGACAACAGCATCAAAACCAAACAAAGCAGTTTGTCCTTCCATTTTACATGATTTATCTTTCACAATTTTTCTGAATTTTCCTTATATGTTAAAAAATTCTATTCAGTCTTAGGTATAAATAGCAAGTTTTAAAAAAAATGTATGGGGAGGCAGAGTGCCTGAGTCTGTCACCTTGGTTCAAATACTCAGTGTGGTCTCCCAAATAGCACCTTATATGGCCCACACTCCCCAAATAATTATTTGAGGAGCAAAGTAATGAAATAAATCATTTAAGGTTCAGAATCTCTTCTTGAGTCCCAAAGCATGTATAAATTTGAAAACTTCCGCAGCGTTCAAGAGCTATCACCTAGAAATCAGCTACTCCCCATCCTTCTGTGTGCACTTTTGGGAAGCAGAGGAACAGAACAGACTTAAGTCTTGTGGAATTTTTGTTTTACCACCTGGAGTGAGATCTGACTTGCCTCTGACTTAGCTGGGATTTCTGAGCAGTTTAAACACTGGCGGGACTTCAGGATCCAAGGTGCTGTCCTGACCCTAGCTCAGGCAGCTGCTAAGAATTGAAAAAGGTAACAAGAAGTATTGCTTTACTATAATGCACAAAAGGAAAAGGAGAGAGAGAGAGCAAGAAGGAAAGTGCCTCCCATAGAGGGAGACTGGGGGTGGGGATGATGGGGTGTTAGGTGGTAGGGAAATGGGACATTGGTGGTGGGAAATGTACACTTGTGGAGGGATGGGTGCTGGATCATTGTATGACTGAAACCCAATTATGAACGGCTTTGTAATGGTCTATCTCATGGATATCCAATTATAAAAATTACCCAAAAAAAAGTAATGTGAAATTCATGCCCAATTCAGTCAACTAATTCAGTGGCTGAATAAATAGCAGTACTCCTACATTTAAAAAAAAAAAAGTATTGCTTTGCCTCTTACTTGTATAGCTCTAGATGAAATGAGTTTGACTTTGTCACTTTTATTAATGCAATTCATCAGTGAGGGGCTAATATCTTCATTTTGTTTCTGCCAGTCAAGTAAACAACCCAGAAGTCAGTGATCAGAAACCTGAAGCTTCAAACCTTGCTTCAAACCTGACCATGTCAGAGGAAAGTAAGTAACAGTCTTTTTCCAGGTACCAGGTGATGTTATTCTTTTGTTGCTCAAGTTCACTAACTTAAAAGCAGAAGAATGTATGTTGTTGTCCCAGAATATCCAAAAAAGAGAATATCCAAAAAAAAAAGAAATGGATCTCAGCTGGACGGTTCCTTCACTTAATTACCCCTTACTCTCCTATAGAAGGTTTATATTCTTAGACAAAAATGTATCATTTGGGGGCCAGAGAGATAGTACATCGGATAGGGCATTTGCCTTGCACATGGCTGATTCGGGTTCAATGCCCAGCATCCAAAAAAAATGCCAAAGCACTGCCAGCAATAATTCCTGAGTGCAGAGCCAGGAGTAACCTCTGTACATCGCTGGGTGTGGTCCAAAAAGGAAAAAAAAAATGTATCAATTGTTACTGTGTGGAGGTACGGGCACTCTAGCATAATAACTTCATACACATGTGAGAGGGCCTGAGTTTATCCCCAGCACTGCATGGTACCACTGCTGGATTTGGCGCCTGTTAAAAATAAATAAGGTGAGGGAATAACTGAAAAGGATTGGAATGTATCCTTTGCATGTGAGAGGGCCTGGATTTAAACTTTTTACCACAGGGTCCCCCAACACCAAGCTGTCAGCAACCCCTGAGCACTGCTTGTTGTAGCCCAAAAACAAAAAGTAATTCCAATGAGAAAAGGAAGGAAGGTCTGTTTCAGGAATATTTGTTCTCAAAAGAAGGAAGGACTTTATTTGGGAAATATTTGTTCTTAAAGGAAGGAAAATCTTGTTTTTTGAATATTGAATTGAGAACCACTTGCCTAGCCATATGTACTTACCATGAATTTTTAAAGTGTAACATTTATTTATCTATATATTGGTTTGGGGACCACACCGGGTGGTGTCAGAGCTTATTCCTGGCTCTCTGCTCAGATATCACTCCTGGTGGGGCTCCGGGGATAATATGTGGTGCCGACAATTGAACCCTCGGTGGCTGTGTGCATGGCAAGCGCCCTACCCTTTGTATAGTCACTCTGGTCCTAAAAGTGTAACTTAAAAAAAAAAGTTATGACATTGTATGTATTATTTTTTTTCAAAGATATTCAGCGGTTCTCAAAAATTAGTGAACTCAGCAATAATCTGAGTGCTTGTTTAAAATGCAGAATTCCAACCTCATCCTTAGAGATATATTCAATTAGATCTGATATGGATGGCAGTCTGCACTGTCAAACAGTTAGCTCGGCAATTCAGATGCGTTTAGGAAATTGTTCATACTGTGGGAAAAAGATCAGCGCTCTCTAATCAGTGAAAAGTGTTCTAGTTTTGAAACATTTTATTATTTCTCAAGAAAAAGGTCTGTCCTTTACTTCAGGGCCAGGAAGTAAGTTGAATCTACTTGTTCCATCTGAATCATTTCTGTTTCCTTATTTCCTTCAGAAGGCTTACTCTTTTTATGCCTGCCCCTTCCTTTTTTTTTTATTTTGATTTTGGGGCCATTCCCACCTATGCTGAGGGCTCTGTGCTCAGGATTACTCCTGGAAGTACTTGGGACAGTTTGTGGTGCTGGAGATCAAGCCCTGGTGAGAAGGATGCAAAGCAAGTGCCTTACCTGCTGTACCGTTTTTCTGGCTCCTTCCTTTCCTTTGACCTCACACTGAACGCTTAGTAATTTTTCTCCTTAAAGACTGGGTCTTATTTTCTTCTCCATCTAAAACTCTTCTCGGCAATTCCAGCATCCTGTACATGGGATATCAAGCATTGTCTTTTCTTCCCTTATTACTCAACATAGATTCTAAGATTGTTTGATTTTTTTTTTTTTTGTTTTTTGTGCCACACAAAATGCTCGGGTTACTCCTGACTCTGCACTCAGGAATTTCGCCAGCCAGTGCTCTTGGCCTATATGGGATTCCGGGGACCAAACCCGGGTCAGCCGCATGCAAGACAAATGCCTTACCCTTGTGCTATCGCTCCAGCTCTGAGGTCCTTTATTTGAATTACTTCCATAGCAATACCTTCAATAATTGCCTTTGTCCTCTCTCTCATTCCTAGTTTAACTTCTCACTTTCATTGAGGCTGTAACAGTAACTAAACATTATTAAATAAAATTATATACCTAGCTCACCATTTACAGTTCAGGCATAATCGCAGGGCTACAAATGGGCATCCAAATGGGAAGACCTCTATTTCCCTAATGCATTTTTGCCTTTCAGTATTTTATGCTTTTTAAAATACTGCTCCCGAGACTGGAGTGATAGTATAATGGGTAAGGCATTTGCCTGGCATCAGGCTGACCCAGATTTGATCCCCAGCATCCCATATGGTCCCCCGAGCACCTCCAGGAGTAACTCCTGAGTGCAGAGCCAGGGATGCATTGCGGGGTGTAACCCAAAAAGCCGAAAAAAAATAAAATTTTACTCCATTTCTTACATTCTCCCCCACCCCCCTTCTTGTCCTTCATTGTTATCAGGATTGTTGCCATGATTGGGGTTTTGGCAAACACTTGCTGGGCTCTCTCTTTAGTTGTGCTCACAGGCGTCTGACTGTGGGGCTCACCGAGATTCATTGTGGAGCTCTGCATGCAGTTGACAGTGATCAGACATCTTTAAGCTGTGCTCACGGGGTCTCAGTCCTTTCCTGAAGATGCTCACACTCCTGGTAACAGTGCAGCTGGAAATCTCTCAACCCTGTAAGGATGCTGCTCTCAGTCACCGAGCCATCCTCCTTGTCCCTACATTTACGCCTTTCTCACCCCAAGCACCGTGCTCACTCGCTGCCCTTCAGGCTGTTTGTTATTAAGGTTTTGGGCCAAACTGGCAGTGATCTGGGCTTACTCCTGACTCTGTGCTCAGGGTTCACTCATAGAGGTGCTGAGGGGACCTTATGGGATGCTAGGGGTCTTACCTGGGTTAGCCACATGCAAGGCAAGCGCCCCAGCTGTACTCTCTCCTGCCCCTCTTTTTCAATTGTTGTGGAGGCCACTCCCAGTGGTGCTCCTGGGTCACCAGGACCGTACCCAGCAGTGCTCAGGGGACTGTGGAGTACCATGAATTGAACCCGGGTACTTGCACCTGCAAGCTCTGCTGCTTTGAATTATGTTTCTGTCCATGTTTCTCATTCTTTTTGTTTGTTTGTTTGGAGCCACACCTGGGCTAGTGCTTGAGGCTGCTCCTGGCTCTGTGCTTAGGGATTGCTGCTGCTGGTGCCTGGGGGATCATGCTGTGCTGAGCAGACCCAGGCCTCCAGCAGGCAGAGCATACTCTCAGCTGTTTGAGCACTCTCTGGCCCTCAAGTTCCTCATTCCTAACCGATGACTCTCCTCTCATAGAAGCTCTCTGTCAGCAAAGTCTTTTATCATCCCACCACCACCACATCTGCAAAACTACCTTTATTTACCCATGTTTTTTTGCTTCAGACTTGCAGAATGGAAATGGTAATTATCTTGTTCTGGGGAAGGCCTTTTATTCTGCTCTCTTCTCCCTTCCTTAAGGACAGTGGTGCTGTAGTTGTCCTAATACCATGTTGTTCTCTTCTTAATCCTTCCTGTCAGTAAAGGGACATGACTCAGTATCTGCTATGTTCAAACCTAAACAAAAGCTCTCCCTTGGCTTCAGATCTCCCCACTAACTATAGATCTCTCGGCCCTTGACCCCACGGGGCCTTGTGAAAGCAGTGCACTTATTTGCCTTTTCACCTCTCATTCAGTCTTCTGCCTTTTCAAATTTGACCCTTTTTTTCCCACACATCTGATGAAATTTCTTTCTTTCAGGGTCATCTCTTTACTGAAAACATCGGTTCTAATGGATTTTTTTCTCTCTTCATAGGCTGCCTCTCACCACTTTTCCTCTTGCCTTTCTCCTTACTCTGTGGGCTATGAAAGTTACTGAATCTGGGAGCTGGAGTGATAGCACAGAGGGTAGGGCGTTTGCCTTGCACGCGGCCAACCCGGGTTCGATTCCCAGCATCCCATATGGTCCCCTGAGCACTGCCAGGGGTAATTCCTGAGTGCAGAGCCAGGAGTTAACCCCTGTGTATCGCTGGATGTGACTCAAAAAGAAAAAAAAATAGAAAAGAAAGTTACTGAATCTCAGGAATTATTTCTAATTTACCATTTTTTTCTTTCTGCATCATTTTTGACTTGGAGTATTTTAAACATTGTTTATGAATTCAAATTTATGTTTCCATTCTGACTTCTTCCCTGATTTCTTTAGTGTATATGATTATCTACTTGACACCTCCCCTTGTATTTCCGAAAGGTTCTGGGTCAGAGATGAAGCTTAGCACTTTCCTTGCATACATGAGGCTCTGGGTTTAACCCCAGCACCAAGACATTGTGGAGAGGGAACTAAAAGGAGATCATACTTAAAGTGTGATTTAAAGTGTGCTTAACTTTTTTTAAATGCAAAATGTTCTTTTTTTATTGTGCAATCCATATACATGAATAACCACCCCATACATGAATAAGTTTGTATGTTTTAAGATTTTGCAGTTGGTATCCATTTCTTTTAGTTTTGTATTCCATTGCCATTTTCTTTCCTTTTTTTTTTTTTTAATTGAGTTACTGAGATACAGAGTTAGAGAGCTGTTTGTGGTTGGTTTCAGTCATACATTTCAACACTCAGTCCTCCACCATTGTACATTTCCCACCACCAGTGTCCCCAGTTTCCCTTCTCCCAGCATGTCTTTGGTAGGCACTCTCTCTCTCTCTCTCTCTCTCCCCCCCCATCTGCTCTTTTTTTTTTTTAATTTTTATTAGTGAGACACCATGAGGTACAGTTGTATACTTACAAATTTTTGTGCTTGGGTTTCAATTATACAATAATCAAATACCCATCCCTCTACCAGTGACCATTTCCCACCACCACGGATCCCAGTATCCCTCCCACCCCCCATCCTCCCCATCCCACCCTGCCTCTGTGGCAGGCAGGGCATTCCCTTTTAATCTGCTCTTTTTTTAGAGTTCCCCATTTTTAGGAAGTGGTATTGCTATTCATGCAGTTGCTAAGCTAAAAATTATAAATCATTCTCTGTTCCCGTGTTTTCCTCATTCCTTGCATACATATCAACCAGAATTTTCTTAGTTTTACCTTCAAAATACATTTGAAGATTTTTTCTGTCTCATTTCTCATTGCATGCTCTTCTAATAGAATAGCAGATTAGTCCTTGATTCTATAACTCTTTCTTGGAGAGTGAACCTGAGTGCAGAGTCAGGAGTAAGCTCTGTACATCGCTGGGTGTGGCCCAGAAAGAAAAAAAAGTATCGATTGTTACTGTGTGGAGGTACGGGCACTCTAGCGTAATAACGTCATACACACGTGGGGGGACCTGAGTTTATCCCCAATACTGCATGGTACCACTGCTGGATTTGGTGCCTGTTAAAAATAAATAAGGTGGCCTTAATCTCCCTGAATGTTTTTGTCGATATTTACTAGAATTCAGTCAAAATTGGGGGATAGGTTTGGGTTTTTTAATGTGCTTGTCAGCAGAGAAGGAACTTTGCAGCGGAATTCAAATCAACTTCTCTTATATTCTGTTTGATGGATGCTTAAGAACTTTAGTTGTGATTAAAAACGGATGGAGCCATCCTTCATTTTTATCAAAATATGAATTACTGTGATCTACCTGCAAGCTGTTAGTAATTATTTTTTTATTAAAGAATTGTGTAGTAATTATTTTTTAAGATCTAGAAGATTGGACAAGACCATGTGTGGTAAACTCACAAATACTGATTTGTCTTACTCTTGTGCATGAGTTAAACTCTCATCTGCTACTGGCCTAGAGTTTCTTCCTGAATCAGATGGGGAACCCTGTTAGACATAAATTTCACTGTTCACTCTTATTTCCCACTCACAGTACAGTAATTTACTTTACAATTTTAAAAGAAGTTCTTAAGCAATTCAGGGATATGGCATGAGCTCTATGATAAAACTATCTGCCACATGGACAGAAGTAGCCCCTTTTGAGTGGATTATCTATCAAGCTTGAATTTATTTTTAAAATTTTTTATTAAGGCATCATGATTAACAATGTTATTTATGATTTTCAGATATATAGTGTTCAACACAAGGTTCTCTCCCATCCCTCAAATTTGAGTTTATGCCAGATAAAATAGCTGCCTTCATAGTAGCTTTTCTAAATGAAAAAAGACATGGGGGTAACGAAGACACTAGCTGGGAGAATCTCTGTGTGATGGTTCATCAGAGTTTCTGAACAGTTCCTTGGATCTGTCTCTGCTTTGCTAGACTCATAACTTTACTATCAATGCTGAAAAGATAGGATAGAAACAAACTTACTTTTCTGCTGCTGCTTATGCATTGGCAGGGCAAGCGTTCTAATAAAATTGGGTATTTCCCCCCAATATGTCTTCCTGCAAATAATTCTGATGACTTTTTAAGTAAGTTCCCAGAGAATGAATAAGCTCAAGAAGTATAATTTCATTTCATTTCTTGTATAAGCATCTTCTTTTTGGGATTGGGGGGCACACCTGATAGTGCTCAGGGCTCACTTCTGGCTCTGCACTCAGAGATCACTCCTGGGGGTGCCTTGGAAACCGTATGAGATGCCAGGGATCAAAGCCTGGTCAGCTGAGTGCAAACCAGGTACCCAACCTGCTGTACTAACTCTGTCTGGTTCCAGGCATCTTGATTTTTTAAGTTTGCCTATGAGCTAAGAGTTTAGGATGATGTGACATTGTTTTAGATCGATGACAGGGAAAGTAGGAACCAGTTAGTACTGACCTTTTTAGCTCCTTTCCATACTACACTCTAGTTATTTTTATTCTCTCTAAACTCCGTATTAGCAAAGTGATATATTAGCAACTTCATGCTACCTACCTACAACAAAATGCAAGCCATGTTTTGTTAGTTTGAGTAAAAAATGCAATTTTCTGATTTCACTTTTGGAATGTTCTAACTTTTACTCGGTGATATTCTTTCAGTTATGACATGCACCGATTACATCCCTCGCTCGTCCAATGACTATACCTCACAAATGTATACTGCAAAGTAAGTTGAATATTTTAAAAAATCTATGTATTTAGCTTTTTCTCTAGATTGATAATTTTAACTTGATGTTAAATTTTTTAAGTTGTATTTAACTTATTTTCATCCCTTGTGTGTTCGCTCTCACTCTCTTCATTCATTCTCTAATTTTTAAAAAAAATTTTTTAAATATAGAACCAACATAACATCCTTTAGAAAGTAGGTGGTTGCCTGCAGTAGGTTATTTTTGTCCACAAGCTAACTGTAAATGAATGGGCACTAAAAGTGCAAAATATTAGTGATCAAAGCAGTCACTGATTTTTTTCATCTATTTTTCATAAAAATATGAAAATAAAAACATCTAAAGTGTGCAACTCTCCACCTTGTCTACGTTCATTTCCTAGTTTTAGGGAAGTCCTTAGAGTTTAACTGGACTTAAAGTTATACAGGCTTCTTGGGTTGAAGTTACCAAGAAGTACCATTTCATTTCTTTTCTGGCTGATCTTTCTGGTGAAAGTTAACCCGCCATGTTAATCATCTCCAAGATGTGTAGATGCAGACATTGTGAATATCAAACTACCAGTTGTGTATTGGTAAAGAGTAGATTTACATCTGTACAGGTAAAATAGTGTGCTTTAAAGTATGGTATGTTCTGGGGGCTGGAGCGATAGCACAGCGGTAGGGCGTTTGCCTTGCATGCAGCCAACATGACCGACCCGAGTTTGATTCCTCCGCCCCTCTCGGAGAACCCGGCAAGCTACCGAGAGTATCTTGCCCACACGGCAGAGCCTGGCAAGCTAACCGTGATGTAATTGATATGCCAGACACAGTAACAACAAAGTCTCCAATGGAGATGTTACTGGGCCCGCTCGAGCAAATCGATGATCAACGGGAGGGCCTTACTTACTTACTTATGTTCTGGGGGCTGGAGTGATAGCACAGCGGGTAGGGCATTTGCCTTGCACGCGGCCCTACCCAGATTTGATTCCCAGCATCTCATATGGTCCAAAGAGCACCACCAGGAGTAATTCCTGAGTGCATGAACCAGGAGTAACCCCTGTGCATTGCTGGGTGTGACCAAAAAAATAATAATTAAAAAAAATAACGTATGGTATATTCTTATGTGCTTTATTATGCAGGACATGTAAAGAAACTGTTAACAGTTGACAGTCATATAAAGAAAGTGCAGCTTTTTCTTTCCATGCATATTTGTTCGTCTTGAATTGAATCAGGCTCGTGCTTCCTTGAACACGTGTCTCACTTGCTTATCTGTTTCTTTGCTTATTTCCACTCTGGAGAAGCCTGTGTTCTTTCTTGTACATGTACTTCTCCTTTCTTTCCCCTCAAATCTTTCTAAATAAGTTTTAATAAAAAGTTTCTTATTTAAGCATTTTAAAAAACAAAAATTAAAATAATTTAAAAAATCCATGAATTCAGGGTGTATGGTGCTGCCAGCAGGTCAGTTTGTACCTGTGAGGCGTGTGCATCAGCAGCCTGATGGCGCTTTCATACTGTGCCTTGTGCACAGCCAGCCCGGCGGTGCCGGGTTTGATTCCTCCGCCCCTCTTGGAGAGCCCAGCAAGCTACCAAGAGTATCTCGCCCGCATGGCAAAGCCTGGCAAGCTACCCATGACGCATTCAACATGCCAAACACAGTAACAACAAGTCTCAAAATGGAGATGTTACTGGGCCCGCTCAAGCAAATCGATGAACAATGGGAGGACCGTGCTACAGTGCTACAGGCTGGTGCCCTGAGCTGAAGGCTGAAAAATCTTCCCCTTAGGAAACACCTCACTTCCCTTATCTTGTTGTTAATACTTACATGGTACTAAGTAAATTTCCAGAAGTTTCACTGCAGAATTTTAATCCTTAGCTGAATTTGTTGTGACTGGTACCAACTGGGTGCAGTTTGCTCTGGCAGAAGTATCAGTGGGGGAGTTTCTGAATACCATTGGAGCTTCCCAGGTTTTATTAATGACCTGACTGCTGTTTCATAGGCCTCCGCGTGGGACATTGACTCTTGTCCCTCCCCACTTTCTGTGCTGTTTGCCTTTTCTCCACCAGCCTTATTCTCTTTTCCAGGTCCCAATTTTTTTCTTCTGAGAAAAAATTGGTTTGATCCAGAAGACTGGTTAGAAAATGACAGCTATTTGCCAATCTGCTTCTGTCCAGTTTGGGTTATTTTAAGGTTTTATTCTATATATTGATATAGGGCAGCTTTTCTCAACTGGGGGTGGAGGCAAGGGCATTATGGTCCCCTGAGCACCGCAGGATATGTCAAGGGGGCCGCAGGTGAAATTCGCATAAATAGGAGGTCATGACACAAGACAAGGAGCCAGCTAGGACAGCAGCCTTAGGATGGAGATTGAACCAGGAGGAAGCCCTGGTCGGAAGAGGGCTGAGAAACACTGGTCTAGAGCATCAGCCCAACATAGCCATCCTGCTGCCTCACAAAGGGCTGGGCATGTTGCCAGTGCAGCATTTGTGGAATGATAATTGGATCTGAGGAGGAGAGCATTTGAAACTATTCAGCTTCCTGTGAGAGTGTCAGGTAGACAGTAGAATTTGAAAAGGAGAGAACAGTTTTGTTTCTGACCATAGTTTTCTTGGCTGTTGCTAACAACTTTATTTTTCATTACTAAATAATAACTTATTATACATAAAAATTTTGGTTTTCTTGACCTTTTCTAGACCCTACGCACATATCCTCTCGGTTCCTGTTTCGGAAACTGGTTATCCTGGGCAGACTCAGTACCAGACATTACAGCAGTCTCAGCCCTACGCTGTCTACCCTCAGGCCTCCCAAACATATGGACTACCTCCTTTTGGTAAGGCATCCTGTTGTAAGCAAATTTTTTTAAGGTTGATTTCATTTCCCAGAAACTTCTATCCTTTTCCCCCCAAAAGAAAACACAGCTTAAAAGCTGAGGAATGGTGGGTTTTTGGGGTTTGGTTTTGTTGTGTTTGCAGAACAACCACTTAGTTACTGGTATTCAAGTGGATATGCAACTTTCCGACAGTATATTGGATGCATGTAATATAAAATCATAGTGTTTTGGTGCTCATTTGTCTATGAAATTTTAGTTTATAACGTGTACTAAGACTTGAACGTAAAATTTAGAATCTTCAAGGATTTGGAAAACTCTTTGAGGAATTATTACTGATTTGACTTTATACAAATGATACCGTTGTTAAGTAATCATGATGAATGTATTTTAAGGTGGTTAACTTCTTGCTAAAACCGGGATATCTGAATTTCCTAGTAGAATATGACTTATAGTTTCTTTCTCTCTTTAATCTCTCTCTCTCCTTCCTCTCTCCCTTCCCACTTGATTAAATTTCATTTTACTGAACCAAAGAGTTATCAATGAATGGGAGAAATACCTACTTTTTTTTATAACCTTATATGCATCAAGATTTTTGGTTTAGGTATGAACTGTAAATAGAACTGTAACAGAACTATAAAGTTAGTTTGAGTTTCTTTGAGCATATGATATCTGCACTGATTTTTCTGAGTATATGTTGATAGACATTAGCTTCATTCCTTCTTCATTCCTGCTTTCCTAGAACTGTCACCAGAAAATTGTGAGAGTACTTTATTTCAAATGTGCCGGAGCAGGAATTGGGAAATACGCGGAATTCATGCTTCGTATACAGAAGGCCCAAGTTTGATCCATAGCATCACACAATGGCTCAGGCACCAATCTGGGAGTAGCTGCTGAGTTTCACTGGCTGTGGCTCAAAACCAAAATAAACAAGTAAATAAACAAAATATTAAAGTACGTGATGGGCTGGAGGGATAGCACAGAGAGCCCGGCAAGCTACTGACAGTATCTTACCCGCACGGCAGAGCCTGGCAAGCTGCCCGTGATGTATTCGATATGCCAAACACAGTAACAACAGTCTCCAATGGAGACATTACTGGGCCCGCTCGAGCAAAGTGATGAACAATGGGAGGACAGTGACAGTGACAGTAAAGTACATGATAGAGGGTCAGGAATGTGAGTCAGTGGTAAGGTGTATGCATTGTACGCAGGAGACCTGGGTTTGATTCCTGATAGTGCAAAAAAAAAACAACCCGAAAACCAAAAATACAAATCACCCAAAATAAAATAAGCCTATATGTCAGAAAGTCTGGAAGCAGCCTGTGTTGGAGGGCTTGAGGTTAGAAACAAATCTTCACTCACTGTTGGTGGGAATATTGTCTGGTTCAGCCTCCATGGAAAGCATTAGGGAAAGAACTGTATGACCCAGTGGTGTCACTTCTTGGCATCTTCCCCCAAATACTGAAATATTCATTCAAAAGGCTACGTACACACCTCTGTTCATAGCAGCGCTTGGTGTGGGAACAACACCAAATGCCCAACTACAGATAAATAGATCAAGGAGTTGTATTTTATCGGGCTAGAGAAAGTCCTGCGGGTAGGGCGCTTGCCTTGCATGCATCCAGACCTGATCCCCAACACCATGTCTCGTTCCCTGAGTGCATAGCCAGGAGTAACTCAAAGCACTATCAGGTGTTGTCTCAAAACAAAATAAAATGTGCAGTAATTAATGAAATTATTTCTATAGGCTTTATGAAACAAACTGGGAATCAGAAATAAAATCTCCTTAGCGATTACCAGGTTCCAGATGGATTAGTGTTGCTTGCTTTTGTCTTTTATTTCTTCTTTTGATCCTTTTGGCTAGTCCTGATATTGTAACAGCTTTCTGACCTTGTGGCTTATTAGTGTCCTGTGTCTTCTGGTAGAAGCAAAAATTGGGGAATATTTTTAATGGTAGGGATTGTTAACTTTGATGAGAAATAGAAATGCTCTATTTCCCACTGTGTACACCCAGGCCTTTAGGCTGTCAGTGTCAGCCTAAAACCTTAAGGATATACCTAACCAGCCAAAGCGCATAGTCCTTTTGGAAGCAGACTCTGGAAATTGGAGGGTGGCAGTTTTTTGTTCTGCGTGTTTGTGCTTTTAAAAGCAGTTTTTTATCTGACTAAGAATTGACATCTTATGACATCTTATTGTCTCATTCCTACTTTGGACAAACTTGCAGGCTATCGAATGTAGCCTGCCCACAGGGCAGAGTCTGGTAAACTCCCCGTGGCGTACCAAATATGCCAAATACCAGTAACAATTATGGATCTCATTCTCCTAAATAGCCTTGAATATAATCTCAGGGCTAGGATGAAAGAGACGTTACTGGGGCCTGCTCGAGGCAATCGACGAATAACAGGATGATGAAATGAAATGAAATGAAGAATTGACTAGAAATTACAAAGTGACTGTTTCTGCTCTTTAGCCTCTGGAATTGAGGGTGGTGCGCAGGGCACCAGAGCTACCCTTGGTGCTGCCAGGGATCGAGCCTTGGGCCTCCCAAGGCCTGTGCTCTGCTTCTTAGGCCTCATCCCTAGCCCCAAATGTCTATTTTAACATTAAACAATCTCTGAACATGTCTTACGAAATAGTTTAGTGCCATGTCCATGTTGGTCCTAGTTATTATACTTCATGATCACTGCATTTCCCTTGTTCTTTTTTTGTTGTTGTTTTTTAATTAATTTATTTATTTTGAGGGAGGAAGGGGCACCACACCTGGTGATGCTCAGAGATTACTCCTGGCTCTGCACTCAGAAATTACTCCTGGCAGTGGTCAGGGGGACTGTAGGGAGTCCTGGGGATTGAACCCAGGTTAGCCATGTACAAGGCAAGCACTCTGCCCACTGTACTGTTGCTATGGTCTGAGGACTCTTGAAATTTTGAACAAGAATATTTACATTGTAGATATTATAAATATTCATTGTAAAGAAATAGTGTTAGTAATAACAGGCTTTTTAATTAATCTTTTCTTGTTTACTGTTTGCGAACAAGAGCCTTATTTTATGAACTCTTCTAGAAATGATTTTGATAAAGATTAATAATTAGTTGTCAATATTTAGTTATTGGTTTAATTGGACTGTAAAATATATTAGTCTTTAGAGATTTTGTTTGAGATAATTGATTAAACATATTCTCAGAACTTATAAAAAAGATATTGTTCCCCTTTTTGGGTGTTTGTGGTTTGAGGGATCAAACTCAGGCCCCACAAACTCAGGACAGGTACTCTATCACTACATCATTTATAAAGAAAATTATTAAAGGGTATTTATGAGGCCAGAGCATACAGCAGGTAGGGCGCTTGCCTTGCACATGGCTGACCCAAGATTGATTCCTGGCACTCCATATAGTCCCCTAAACACTGCCAGGAGTAATCCCTGAGCACAGAGCCAGGAGTAAGCCCTGAGCACCACTGGGTGTGACCCAAAAAATAAAATTTTAAAAAATAAAAAGGTTAAGTTGTGATACTTTGCTTATGTTTGCTGCTGCACCCAGAAATTCTCAGGCTATTGTTGGCTCCGTGCTTAGGGGTCACTTATGGCTTTTTCTAGAGCCATGTGGTATGAAGGATTGAGCCAAGGACTCCAGCCTGGAATGCACGGACTGCAGCCCATTCAGCTGTCTCTCTGGCCCCACCCTTTATTGCTACTGGTCATTTGCTTTCCTCACCGGGGGTCCTCAGAAAGTGTGACTGTCAGAATCACTAGAGGTTGAACTTTCAGCTTAGTGCTTGCTCTGCAAGTGCTTTAAGTTACTGAACCATCTTTGGGCTTCTTTCATACTTAAATTTTTAAAGAATTTTTGGGTATTTTAGCAGGTTCTTTTTTGTTCAAGGTGATGACTTTTTTATACAATAAAACACCTGATTTTTTTTTTGGTAGTAAAGATTTGGGCTTATTTGGGGGGAGAGTCTTCCTAACATTATCCAGGGTCCTGGGGGGCTATTTTATGGTACCACTTGGTCAGGCTGAGCAGACATGATGGTTTCTGGGACCCAGTGGTACTGGGACAGCCAGAGCTATTGCAGCAGTGCTGGTGGGGGAGGGCCAAGGACTCAGACGTGCAAGGCAAGTGTTACACTCCTTTGATCTATTTCCCCAGCCCCTTTTGTTTTGTACACTTGTTTTTATTTTTGTTTTTGTCACACCCCGTTGTGAGTTGTTACTCCATTGTTACTCCTAACTCAACATCAGGGATTATTCCTCACATACTTGGGAGACCATATTGATGCTGGAGAACGAACCTGGGTCAGCTGTCTGCAACGCAAGTTTCTTAGCAGCTGTAGTATCTCTCTGCCCCCTGTACTTTGAATGCTTCATATTAATACTAGTTTAACGCTAGATTAGCCGAGTCTGTTATAGTTTGTTTTGCATTGCTGGGGACCCAACCTAAGACTTAATACATGTAAAGCATGTGCTCTTATCATTGAGCCCACTGCTATTGTATTCTCATGCACTTGAGTCTTTAGAAAATCTTTTTTTGGTTGTTTCTGGTTTTTGTTTTGGAGCCATATCTGGCAATATTTGGGTGTTACTCTTGTATCTGTGAATTATACCTGGGGGCTTTGGGGGGAACCGTATAGGATGCCAGGGATAGAACCTATGTCGGCCACATGCACGGGAAACTCCTCAACCTCTGTGGTATCTCTTTGGTCCCTAAAAAATCTTACTGTGACATGTATTTTTTCTTGTTGTTGTTTTGGGATCATACTTGGTGCTGTTCAGATGCTATTTGCAACACAGTGCTTGGGAGTTGCTCCCAGTGGTACTCAGGGAACGCTGATGTGCTGGAGACTGATCCTGAGTCTCCCATGTACAAGGCAAGCAATCCATCCTCTTGAATTCTCTCTCTGGTTCTCTTACTGTAATACTACTAATTATCTACTAAGTGCTTCCTATGCCGAGTACTAGGCTAAGAATGAATATGTCATACTTTATCATCTCATTTAATTATCAGAAGGGATAGATGATCATAAGAAGGGTTCTAAGAAGAGGTAGATGATCCCTTCTTATAGGTGAGGGGACTCAGGCTTAGAACAATTAAATGGATTACCCAAGATCACAGTTAGTCATTACCTGGAATTAAAATTTAACCCAAGTATGTTTAAATTCAGAACTACTTATAAGTTTTGGTCTGTATGGAAAAGATTACCTCACAGTTGAGTTTGAAATTAAAAGCTTCCTCTTGAAGAGAAAAGACTAGAGGAAATCTAGGAATTACCATTATCACAAGTAGTCTGTAAAAATAAAGAAATAGTTGTCATAATCTTAGGGTATGGGGGGGCGGATTAGGGTTTCCAAAGCACTGCTGAGTCGCCTCTGGGGCCTCTTGCAGTGCCCTTTGGCTAGTTCTGTTGACCTGGGCTCAGTGTGAGGGCACGAGGAGCTGCTCCTGGCCCTGCATTCCCTGGGCCACCTGGCGGTGCTCAAGGTCACCAGGGCCATGTCCGAGGTAACCCAGAACACCTCCAGGGATGTGGCCATCATCTTCTCTTCAGAGCTTATAGAAATGTGGTGGCATGGGCAGAAAGAGGATTAGAGGTTAAACTTCAGTGATTTGGAGCTCTCACTCCAGTTCTTGACTTTTTCAGGGGATGAGGGGTTTATTTTTTTACCCTCTTGCATCAGGAATGGGACCCAGGGCCTCACATATACAAGGCAAGTGCTCCAACACTGAACTTCGTCCCTGGCCTCGTTAAGACTGACATCTTGAGAAAATACTGTGTTAAAAATTGAAAACAGCAGTGTATGGTGAAGGGAATATGAATTAGGTGGTTAAAAAACGTGGGGCTTAGCTTCTGAGTTGAGCGAAGCATGTGCTTCACAACCCCCAGCTTCATTGGATGTGGCCTCGGTATAACATGTTGGATGTTACACTGAAAGCACAAAATAAAGTATATGGACTGAGTACCTTAAGTATGTGCAGGGCCAGGCATACAGCTTGCAGGTGTGAAGTCCAAGGTTAAATCCTAGTCTGTTTGTGGTAAAACACATACTTGCCTGGACACACACACACACTTGGAAGGAAAAAAAATGTGAATGTTAACAGTAGAAACACTGCAGATTTGATTTGTTACCCCAGAACCATCAAAAACAAGGACCCAGTTTCGTAGTGCTCAGGAGCAGTTGGCCCAGCCATTCGCCAAAGAACTTCCTAGCCTTTGGTTCTGTGTTGTGAGACTCATTTTTCCCTTTACCATTTCCGTATTTTAATGATTTCTCTTAAAACTAGGGAAAGTACTAAGATGACTTCATGTTTGTAATAGTTCATGCCAAAGAGCCTTTGAATCAACAAGATAGTCTGTCAGGTCTTTCCCCCTAGCATTTGACATGTACTTCAGTTCCTTGCCAGTCTTGCCTAAAGATTCACTAGCTCCTGTATTAAGAATTGCCATAAGCTAAACTCTTCACAGGAGTTAGTGACTATCGAGTAGAAATATCTGTGCTGAGCAGCCTGGAGAGTTTGTGGAAGAAAGAATCCAGGTGTGCACATGTGGGGTGCAGGAGGAGAGCGCTCACTGCAGCTCCCTGCCCTCGTGACAGGCCATGGTGCCTGCCTGTACCAGAGGCACTTTGGTGGAGGGAGTGGTGAGCTCGGAGTCAGGAAACTGGGGTTTGGTTTCTTCCTTCACCGCAGGGGATTAGTGCCTATAGCCAAGCTTTGTTCCTGCTTTCTGTTACATGAATTCTGGGAAGGCGCTGGGAGAGCGATGCTGAGAGACAGTGCTACCTCCAGAGATGCTAGAGCTGCATCCACATTGTCTCCTAAACATTACTGTTTAGATGGCCACATGACCTTCAAAAGTAGCTGTTCTCCTACTGATCTCAGACCTTTATGACCCTGATTTTTTTTTTTTTTTTTTTTGTCATCTAAGGGTGGGCTGGAGCGATAGCGCAGCAGGTAGGGCGTTTGCCTTGAACGTGTTGAACGTGGCTTACCTGGCTGACCCGAGTTCGATTCCGCTGCCTTCGATTCCTCCATCCCTCTCGGAGAGCCGGGCAAGCTACTGAGAGTATCTCACCCGCACAGCAAAGCCTACCCATGTCGTATTCGATACGCCAAACACAGTAACAAGTCTCACAACGTTACTGGGCAATTCGATGAACAACGGGAGGACAGTGACATCTAAGGGGCAAATATATAGGCATTTTACATTTGAAATGCAAACAGCATGTACTAAATGAAGCCAGACAGTCTTGTTATCTAGTGCTGTTCTTTTGGAGGGAGTGGGGGGAGTGTTGGGGGCCATACCTGGCAATGCTCAGGAACAAGTTACTCCTTGATCTGCACTCAGGGATCACTCCTGACTGTGCTCCGGGGACCATATCGGGTGCTGGGGATAAAAACCAGTTCAGCCAGGTGCAAGGCAATCACCTGTATCCCCTCTATTATCTCTGGTCCTCTGACTTAATATTTCTAAAAAATAAACTTGAGGGGCTGGAGTGATAGCACAGCGGGTAGGGCGTTTGCCTTGCATGCGGCCAACCCGAGTTTGATTCCCAGCATCCCATATGGTCCCCTGAGCACCGCCAGGAGTAATTCCTGAGTGCAAAGCCAGGAGTAACCCCTGTGCATCGTCGGGTGTGACCCAAAAAGCAGAAAAAAAAAAAAACCAAAAAAACTTCACTCACAAAAGATATTTTTTGGTTCCTATGTGGAAGTAAAGTTTTGTAATTTTCTAGCTTACTGCAAATTAATAAGGGATAGAGATAAAAATTGTTAAGAAGATACCAATTACATAGAACAAAAAGGTTCGAGCGATGGTACAGCGGGTAGGGCGTTTGCCTTGCACGTGGCCAACCTGGGTTCAATCCCAGGTATCCCATATGGTTCCCCAAGCACCGCCAGGAGTAATTCCTAAATAAAGAGCCAGGAGTAACCCCTGTGCATCACTGGGTGTGACCCAAAAAGCAAAAAATATATATATAGAACAGACAGAAATACACAATGTAAGATCCAGAAATCAGAGAATTATAATTTAATTTTTTTTATGCTAATCAGTTTTCATACACCAGAGTAGGTTCTGGATAATACCTCTGTGTACCCTGTATACAGCAAATATAAATATAGCCCAGTATCGATTTTGTAACAATAATTCTGAGACAAGTTAAAGCTGTGTTCACTAATTCCTCCCTGCTAAGAAGGTGATAGGAAAGATATAAATATATTTTATAAAGATTTTCACTTAGAACATTGTGATAAAAATAAAAGTGGAATAGCTTTTATTCATCATAGTTTGAGATAAGATTTGTATGTTCTGACAGTGAGCAATAACTCTTAGAGATTATGTGGAAAAGTAAATTATGAACAATGTGTAACATTTTATTTAACAAAGATTATGTTTGGAGTGAGACCAGAGTGATAATACGGAAGACAGTGCATTTGCCTTATACACAGCCAACCCAAGTTGGATCCCTGGTATCCCATATCGTCCCTCAAGCCCCACTGGGAGTGATCCCTAGGTGCTGAGCCAGGGGTAACCTCTGAGCACCGCCAGGTGTGGCCCCAAAACAGACAGACAAACAAGATAGCTTACATTTAAAGTATCTGGACTCTTCTGCAAACTATTAACAGTGGTTAATTATAAATAGTCGTTCATTATGGTCTGGGGGCCATACCTGAGCATTACCAGGTATGCCCCCAAATCCCACCCCACCCCCAGCCTTCCCTTTTGGATGTTAGGACTATGTATGAATATTTTTCTGTTATATATTTCTTTAATGTTTTTAATTTACAAAAATGAGCAGATCTTTCCTAATCAGAAGTAACAAAGGTAACAAAATAACTAGCTTAAGAAGGCAGAGATGTGATACATTTTAGAAACATTCTGTGCTTTTTTTTTAATGGTAAGTGAAATTGAACTTCCTGGAATGTCAGCTCCTGCCTCCAGTTCAGATTAAGGATTAATCCTTGTGCATGCGCATCAGACGTTCTTTATGAGGAATACTCCAGTGATGTTTTAGCAGCTTTTTCCCAGCCCTAGTCAGTTTCCCCCAACCACTGAAGTATATACATATTTGGGGTAGGAGGAGTTAACAGGATTTTTGTTTCTATAGTCCCACACTCCAATTCTTTGACATTGTATTTGCTTGTGGTTTATAATGAACAGGAGAATCAATATTTTTCTCTTAACAAGCAAATTTACTTTCATTTATCATATTATTTTTAATTATAAATTAATTATATATTTATAATATATAATATATCTATAATATCTAGTTAATTATATATTTATTCTTATTAAGATTTAGATTTTAAACCTACTGGCTGATGTTTAAAAGCATAATCATGCTCCTCAGTCCCAGTGTATTGTTTGTAATTGGTCCAATTTATCTGATTCAGGTGCATTGTGGCCAGGTATGAAACCTGAAAGTGGTTTAATTCAGACTCCATCTCCAAGTCAACACAGTGTTCTTACCTGCACTACAGGGCTAACCACAAGCCAGCCAAGCCCAGCACATTATTCTTACCCCATTCAAGGTAAATAGGCATGGTTGTGTGTGCTTGACAATTTTATTTGCTGGGTTTTTTTTGTTTGTTTGTTTCCAATCTGCCTGTATCTCCAACTTACTGGTAATACAGGTGCTCTATGGTCTAAATGAGAAGGGGGTGATATTTGCATCCGTGCATGCTTTCTGTGTGAGGCAAACCGGAGTGTGGTTTATCATCAGTAGCTTAGCTTTTGGTTGTGAAATGCTTAATAGGATTGCAGCCTTCCCTTTTTGCATGTTGGTGTTCATAAAACGTCTCTGATTTTGTGCTAGTCTGTTCTTGGGGGCACCCTTTATCCGAATGAGTAGAAGACTCCAGGAGTTCAGGCTTCACTGAAGTTTTTGTGTGAAGTCCCAGTAGAGTGGGATGTAACATGTGCTGCTTTTGTACTGTGGTACTGTCCTGCTCCAGCCCCTCTTGCACCTTTGTGAGAATATGTTTCCTGCTCAAAAAGTTCAATCCTAAAGGGTGGGGAGAGGGGATGAAGACTTGGACTTGAGGTGACAGAGTCTTGAATGCTGGATGGAGTGGGGGTACAATTAACTATGTGCATCAGTACCACAAACATTAACACTGTAGCTATGCTACCCAAACTGTAATAAAAGAATTATTTTTTAAAAAAATTAACATTACTTTTAATTTCATGGTGCAGTGCATAGTGTTAAATCTTAAAGTCCAAGTATCTCTGTTTTTCTCAGTTCTTTAAATCATCAGGATTATGACAGGGTTATTAGGAAGGATGACAGAGACACTCAAAAAGGCCTGTAGAATGATTCCCTATCTTCCAGAACCAGTGGAATTTGTCACCGTACCTGGCTTCTCACTGGCATCCTCTTTTCCTGATCTCTCACAGCTTTTTAAATTTAATTCTTTATAAACTGGGGGATTGGGGGGTAGGGTAGGAGGAGGGCTGGACAGTGAAAACTTGCCTGACATTTCTAAGATACAAATTTCAGTTGTAAGTTAGGGTGGGAGTGGGGAGTTGCCTCCCAACAGTGCTGAGGGCTCAGGGACTCTTCTGACTATAGTCAGTATTGTGGTGGGGGCCTGATGGATCGATGGGTGCTGAGGTCCACCTCTGCTGCCCTGGCATTGCCTGTGGAGCTCTGTGATGCTGGGAATCAAACTCAGGGCCTTGCACATGCCAGACACGTGCTCCAGCCTGTTCCCTTGAATAGCTGTGTTTCGTGTGTGTGTGTGTGTGTGTGTGTGTGTGTGTGTGTGTGTGTGTGTGTGCGCGCGTGCGCTGCCATGCCATGCCAAGCATGGAACCCAGGGTCTCACACTTTTAGAACAGGTGCTCCACGGCTCTTCTGCATCCCCAGCCCCCTGCCAAAAATTGATATAAATTATTTTGATTTTCTGTTTTAAGGCTATTTACTTAATGTTTGTAAACTGCTTCTTTTTTGGCTTTTTGGGTCACACCTGACAATGCTCAGGGGTTACTCCTGGCTCTGCACTCAGGAATTACTCCTGGCAGTGCTCAGGGGGACCATACGGGATGCAGGGATCGAACCCAGAGCAGCCGCATACAAGGCAAAAGCCCTACTCACTGTACTATCACTCTGGCCCCAAAAATAAATTCTACTTCATTCAACAATATCTTCTTGTTGTCTACCACCCCCATTCCCACCTCTCCTTTCTCTTTTTTTTTTTTTTTTTTTTTTTTTTGTTAAAGGGACATGGTGCCAGGGACCAACCCCAGGAACTTTGTACATGCAAAAGCATTTGTTTGGCCATTGAGCTATAATATCCTTGGCCCCTTATTTTATCTTTCTTTTCCCAGGCTCTCCTTTTTCTAAATAAGAAAGGAAAATTTTGCCTTTCTTGTTTTTCTTGGTGTCCTTTCTCTGTTCCCGGATCCCAACCCAGACGGACCAGGTACACTTAATTGTCACCTCTCCTTAGTTTTATTTATTTGGTGGAGATGGCACTACACCCAGTTGTGCTCAGGAATCATTCCTGGAAGGCATAAGGGGACTATATGTGGTGCCAGGGATTGAACGCGGGTGGGCCACGTGCAGGGCAAGAGCCTTCCTGCCGTACTAGCTCTTGAACCATTTAGATTCCTCTTGAGTGCAGTTTCTCAGACTTGATTTTGTGGACCTGGGCAGTTTTGAGGACTTTCGGTCCAAGTATAAGCTGCCCCTTGATTGGGATTAGATTGGGGGCTGTAGATTTTTAGGAAGAAGATTAAAGAAGAAAAGTACGTCTTCTATCATGTCACATCTGTCACCTGTATATACACTCAGCTTGATTTAGTGGCTTAGGTGAGATTGGCCTTGATAACTTGACACGCTGGTGAGGTTTCTCCGCTGTTAGTGATCCCCACTACCCTTTGTATGCCTCGTTGCATGGGTAAGAGTCCCTGCCCGCAGTCCACACTTGAGGAGCTGTACACTCCTCCCCTAGGGTGCCATAATTACAGAGCTTCCTTGGAACCTTCAGCACAGGAGATTTTCCTTTCCTGTCCCTTGTTAGTTGATTAAGCACATGTTTATGGGCTCATGTTGTACTTTGGATTATCATTCGGTACTACTGCCTTGGTCTGGTGTCCGGCTTGGCCTTTGTGAGCTGTTTACTCCTTGCTTGTTGATGTGCTCCCATCAGTGTGGTGCTATCTGATTTTTCCCAACACTTCCCAGACTCAACTTAGTGCGTTCGGTTCTGGTTTTGTTTGGAGGCCACACCCAGTGGTGCTTAGGGGTTACTTCTGGCAGAGCTCAGGGAACCTGATGTGGTGCTGTGGATCAAACCCAGGTGCATGGCAAGTGTCCTCTCTGCAATATTGTCGCTTTGCCCTGCAGACTCAACTTTGGTATTACCGACCCTAAAACCTGTCCTCGGCCAGTTTCCGTGACTCACTCAACTGCCACCGCAGAGATACATGTATGCTTTCTGACTTATGTAACCACACATGTCTACAATATTTCTGACAAACAATTTCTAGCAGTATTAAATTAAACCTAAATTTTTGCTAATGTGTCCCTATCTCTAATTTACTCTCACATTGGGAGTTAGTTTTCTGTTTGGTTTTGGGTCTTACCATGCTGGAGATCAAACCCATGGCTGATTATGAATTTCCATTCCATGTGAAAAATCCTGCTCACACTAATTTAGTTTACTAAACTTCTTGCAGGAAGGACTTTTTGTGTCCACTGAATAGTCCTTGTCCATAGTAGGCACTGAGTATTGGATTTGAAACATTGATCAAATAAACGACCAAGTAGGCAACAGTTTTAACTAAAATGTTCAATTTCTGCTGCATCTGAAGTGATCAGAAATGAGATGAATTTTTGTCAGTTTTATTGGTCACATGCTGAATTTTTTTTTTCTTTTTGAGTTACACCCGGCGACGCACATGGGGTTACTCCTGGCTCTGCACTCAGGAATTACTCCTGGTGGTGCTCAGGGGACCATATGGGATGCTGGGGATCGAACCCGGGTCGGCCACATGCAAAGCAAACGCCCTACCCGCTGTGCTATCGCTCCAGCCCCACGTGCTGAAAATTTAGAGCTTCCCCCTGCACACACTCTGTCACATTCTATTTAATTCCTGATCTAGCGGAAAATAATGATTTCTCCCTTCAACACCTAATGCATGCAGGACCTGTTGTGCACAGATCTCACAGGTATTTACTGAGCATCACTTGGTGCATGCAGGTGCTTTGGTAGATATTGGAGATGATGAATAATAAACAGTAAGAGTCCACAGTAGCAAGGGAGAAAGAAAGAAGTAAGTAAAGACCATTTGAAAGGTGATCTGGAAGGAGAGATTACTGATTGGGAGTTAGTTTTCTGTTTGGTTTGCTTTGGTTTTTGCAGTGCTGGGAATCAGACCCAAAATCTCAGATATGTAGAGCTCTACCACCGAGCTCCATCCCCAGGCCTGAAGGAGCTCGTTTCAGTAGAGGGCTCAGGGTCTGTGGAGAAGCAGATTTGCCAAGACAGTTGTGCGGGTGGTATGAGAGGGATAGGGACAGGTCTGGGAGAATGATCCAGCAAAGAGGCCGTTCTCTAACCGACCTTCTGATTAAAGTTCTCGTTGTGCTTTGGCTGTGTCAGCTAGATGTCTTGTGCCGTAGTAGTACTCAGAAGCTTTTTCTGTTCGGTGGTTGCGTGGCTTCATTGTCAGGAGTGGAGAATGTCCCCAAACAGCCCTGCCATGGGCATGTGAAGGGCTAATAACTTTTAGATATGTAACAGATGAAGTGGCCATTGAAGTGTATTTGATTCTCTTGTACTGTTTGTTACATATGTTGGTGTTGCTTTTGATTTGCTTTTGATTTCTAGATCTGCTGTTGAATTTCTTATTGTTGATACCTACATGTATATATTATTGCAGGATGAGCAATACTTGGGAGGTGGGGAGATTGGCAGGGCCTACTGGCAGTGCTCAGGACCTATTCCTGGCTCTGTGATCAAGAGTGACCCTGACCCTGGGCAGTGCCCAGGGGCTGTATGTGGTGCCAGGCATTAGGGTCAGCCACATGCGAGGCAAGCACTTTACCTCCTACTCTATCTCTGACTGACCCATGGATGAATAATAGTTTTTAAGAGGTGCCTAGCTTTTTAGTCAGAGCTATGTGTGGGTTAGGGCTTGTTGTAAAACTGAGTGAAAGGTGAATTTAGAAGTTCAAGGAGCTATTCACTGTGCCAAGGAGCCAAGCAGAAAGGTGAGTTTAGGGGCTATAGTGATAGGACAGCGGGTAGGTGTTTGCCTTGCACAACGCTGACCTTAGTTCGACCCCGAGCATTCCATATGGTCCCCTGAGCAGGGGTAATTACCAGGAGTAATTCCTGAGTGCAGAACCTGGAGTAACCCCTGAGCACCACTGGGAGTAAACCCTGAGCATCCAAAAAAAAAAGGGGGGGGGGTGAGTTCGGGTTGGATTCAATGATGTTTACAGAATTCCAGATTAATACTGTTTATGACAAACTTCTCTCACTTTTAACTCCTTTAAGGTGGTGTTTTTCTTGTTCATTCACTGTCTCTTGGACTGGAACAGTTTTGGATACATGGGAGACCCTGTGTTTTGCTAATGAATGAATGATACATGTTAGAAGTTTAAGTTGTTTAAGTAACTGAACCTAATAAATTTTCTAGGTCAACAGGCCAATATTTCCTTTAGTAAAAGCTACCATTTCTGAGAAATTTGAGATTCATGTATTTGATTAAAAAAAAATCTGTATCAACAAAAAACACATAACAAAGATAGTAAGAGTACATGGACAATTTTTAAAATCTACCTTTTCATCTTCAGCCCACATCAATAAATGGTCTAAAAATAGTTACAACTACCTTATGTTTATAAAACTTGTCAGATTACCTTTTCCCCATGTGTAAAGATATAGATATGAGCGAGTTACACCTGCGGGTATTTGTAAGTTATTAAGAAGGTAGAGCAGGATTAAAATTCAGTAAGAGGAGATGTATATACTAGTACCAGGACTAGAGAAAATTTGAGGTAGAAAGGAACTCTGCTGAGAGAGATGAACTTGAGGTTATACTTGATTTTCTTTCCTGCTTGTCATCTTGTGTTTAGGCCATTTTATTGCAGTTCTGCAAGGCATAATATACAGTTAATACAGTCGGGAATCTAAGTGGTGGGAGTCGCAGCAGTGATCCCTGACACTGTGCTGGGAGTAGCTCTGTTGCTGGGTGTGGATTCTCTCTCTCTCTGTCTCTCTGTCTCTCTGTCTCTCTGTCTCTCTCTCTCTCTGTCTCTCTCTGGCTCTGTCTGTGTCTCTCTTTTTTTTTTTCTTACAAGGCTGATTTTTTTTTTTTTTAATACTTCCAGAGTCTTATAGCCTGAGAGGAGTTTTCTATTTTGGTCTGGTATTGGTTCAGTTCAGAGCCACACCCAGTGGGCACTCCTGGCTTGGTGCCTAAGGGTTGCTTCTCCAGCTCTGGGGGATCGTGCAGTGCTGGGCCTCCATGCTCCGCCGGCCCTGGATTCTCTGCCCTGAGTAGGCGTAGTCGTTCCACATAGGAAAAGGAAAGCCCTAAGCCACAGTCCAGACAGTGGAGTGTTGATGGGAAGAAAATACTGTCTGCAAGGTTATAGAATATATCTTACTTAGTTGTTGGGTTTTAGAAATGAAGTTTTGGAACGCTTATATTTCCCCTGGGTGAAGTGAGAAAGAAAGAGGAAAAAAATTGTTGGGGCTGGAGAAATGGTCCAGAGCATTTGCCTTACACCAGCTGACCCCGGTATCACTCCCAGCACCACAGCACTGCCCCTGAGCACTGCCGAGTGCTCTGGGTGGTCAGCAAGTCTGGCCCCTTATCAAAGGTCTGACTTGGGGAAAGAACAGGGACGAAGTACTGGAAGACCTCTCTTGTCATCCTCCCTCCCACTAGCCTCGTGCCTGCATTGATCATTTTGTTCTCTGTCTTGGGTTCTTCCTCTGAGTGTTGGGGTTGCTGCATAGCTGTTCCTTGTCTCTGATTTATCGTAATCCCTCCTAGACTTTCTGCTAAGCAGAGTACCCATGGGGAAAGGAAGATTCTTTTGGCTTGGACCAACCCCTCCCTGATTTCTGCTCTATTTGTTCACCTGCCCTATTCTTATTTCTGGTGTGGAATGGGGATTGTGATAGCACAGCGGGTAGGGCATTTGCCTTGCACGTGGCTAACCTGGGTTCGATTCCCAGCATCTCATATGGTCTCCCAAGCACCGCCAAGAATAATTCCTGAGTGCAAAGCTAGGAGTATCCCCTGAGCATCGCCGAGGTGTGACCCAAAAAGAAAAGGGGGGGGGACCTGAATAATCTCTCCAGCTCCTTATGTTCCCTGTTCTATTTTATTTTGTTTGGGGGCCATGCCTGGTCATGCTCAGGGGTTACTTCTGGCTCTACACTCTGGAACTACTCCTGGCAGTGCGCTTGGGACCACATGGGATGCTGAAGATTGAACCCAGGCCTGGCGCATGCAAAGCAAACCCTACCTGCTATTTTGTCACTCTGGTCCACATGCTGTACTGTTAATGTAGATTTTTGCTCTGTAAGGAATTTTGTTGTTAATCAGATAGATCACTGTGATGGTCAGCCTTCCTATGTGTAGGGGAAACCATGTCTAAGTATACTTAGTGATGAGACAGGAAGAGGAATTCAAGACCCGTACTTGACTCCATTGTCCACCTGAGTAAAAGCACCCTGGCAATACTTAATTTAGATTCTGTTTTAATCTATAGTAGGAGGCAATGAAAAACACCCTTAATTTCTTGTCCCCAGACAGACAACCTAAATAGCAATTAAAAAATGCTTTTCAAAAAAACAATGCTTTTCCAGGGCTGCAGAGAATACAGGGTAAAGATGCTTGCCTCATATCCCGCCAGCCCCGGATCAAACTTTGGTGCCACATATGGTCTCCTGAGCACAGATGCAGCATGAACCCCCGAGGTTCACTGATGTGGTCCAGCTTACCCACTCCTCTAAACTGGAGTAGTTTTCAGGGACCGAGAGGTTGTATGGTGGATGGTTGCCTGCCTTGCATGCAGCTGACCAGGGTTCAATCCCTGACATCCCATATGGCCCTCTGAGCCCTGCCAGGAGTGATCTCTGAATGCAGAGCCAGGAATAATCCCTGAGCACCAAAAATCAAAAAAAGTGAGTATTTTTCTTTCTGACAGAATGATTCATTGAATATGTTGAGGGCTCTTCCAGGCTCTTTGGTTAAAATCGTTGCATGCCAGATCAAAGTGTTTATTAATTGCCATTAGCAATCCATTTATTGATTACAGCCTGAGAAGCAACTTCAAATATATTAGTATTTGGAGGTCTAACCCTCTTTTTCAAAGCAGTTCTATTATGTCAGAAACTAGCACGGGATGAGTGACAGTAAATACCACAGCAGTTTTCAAGTAGATTAACCAGAGCTGCTGTTTTTTCTATTGATAATAAGTCACACTGTAGAGGACTCATTTTTCAGTTGCTGAAGAAGATGGACTGGAATAGATTGGTTTAGCTCCTGATAGTTTTCTATTTCTTTTGCTTTTGTTTCATATCCATTGGTGCCCAGGGCTTATTCCTATCTCTGCTCAAGGATCACTCCAGGCAGTGCTCAGGGGAAGGCATCTAACCCAAATTAGCCAAATACAAACAAGCGCCTTACCTGCTGTACTCTCTCTGGCCCTAACTTCTGGTTTTGTGGCTAATAATAGTCTGAATTAGTGCACTGTACAATCTAGGGGGTTATAGGAAGAATTGAAATAGAAAAAGAATAACTTTAATTTATTGGATCGATGAGATAGTACAGCAGGTTGGGCATTTCTCTTGCACACGGCTGACCTAGGTTCGATCCCCAGCATCCCATATGGTCCCCTGAGCACCACCAGGAATTGTTCCTGAGTGTAGAGCCAGAAGGAACCCCTGAGCATCTGGGTGTGGCCCAAAAGTTTAAACACGACACACACACACACAACAACAACAACTTGAACTTCTAAATTAAGGTATGGTATGCGAAAGAGCAAAAACCACTGTTTGTTTCTTTGCCAGCATTCTTTATCTCTTTATAGATCTATTTACTTAAAGCACAATAAATTTTCAAATTCTTCTTGGCTTTTGCGTAATATCTTTAATACCATTTCATACTCTCGGTCCTCTAGCTTCGAGCACCAATGCCAGCCTGATAGCCACTTCATCCACAGTTGCCAATGTCCCAGCAGCAGCAGTTTCTAGCATCTCAAACCAGGTACGGTAACTCTTTTTTTGGCTCTTCCTGCTTGGTGTGGTACTTCTAGCTTGCTCTTCCCCTCTTCCCTTTGTGCTCAGAAATATCTGTGAAATAGCCAGTGTGGACTGTGGGAGGTGTCGTCCTGAGTGGCCTCAGGAATAGGTGGTTTCTCAGCTGTCCTCCACTTCCCCTTGTTCCTTCGTTAAGTCTTTGAATTCTATGGTTCTGATTGTGCCTTTATTTATAATGTGTGCCTCCTTTTCCCTGTGGTCCCAGGAAGTAAAATCCTTGGCCGGGGGGAGACTTATTTTTCTATTTTGTTGGCTTATATGCCTTCAGAAAAATGCCTGACATACACATTAAAGGCACGTATTTGTGGGGTCCGGCGGTAGAGTTCTTGCCTTGCGTGTGTGCAGCCAGGATTCAGTCCTTGGCACTGCAAAAAATAATTAAACAAATGGACAAATAGATGCTTCTACTTTTTTTTTTTTTTTTTGGCTCTAAACTCAGGAATTACCTCTGGTGGCGATCAAGGGACCATATGGTATGCTGGGGATCGAACTTGGGTCAGCCACGTGCAAGGCAAACACCCTACCCACTGTACTATTACTCCAGCCCGGATGTATCTACTTTTTATTAGCCACTCACACCTTTGTGCTCTTTCCTTGCTCTATTCTTGTTGTTGTTGTTCTGTTTTGATTTTTTTCGACCACACGAGGCAATGCTCAGGGCTTACTCCTGGCTCCACACTCAGGAGTCACTTTCCGACAGGATTCAGTGAACCATAAGAGGTGTCAGGGATCGAACCCAGGTCAGATGTATGCAGGGCAAGCACTTTACCCCTGTATTATCTATTGCTCCAGCTTCTGATCACTCTTCTATTAACTCTTTATTCTTGGTTCACTAATAACATCTTTTTTTTTATTCTTGGTTCACTAATAACATCTTTTATTTATTTATTTATTTATTTATTGCTTTTTTTAACCCGGCGATGCTCAGGGGTTACTCCTGGCTCTGCACTCAGGAATCACTCCTGGCAGTGCTCAGGGGACCATATGGGCTGCTGGGAATCGAACCCGAGTCGGCTGCGTGCAAGGCAAACGCCCTACCCGCTGTGCTATCTCTCCAGCCCCTAATAACATCTTTAGAGTTTTAGTGTTCTGGTTGTTAGCACTTTTCTGCCACAGTATTATCCACCAGTGTTCCTAGGGTTTTTTTCTAGCTACAATTATATTACTATTTTGGTGATATTTTATGTTTGATTGTTCTGACACCTGTTCATTTTTGAGTTCACAAATAATTTGTTGAATTACTGCTATGGACCAGTGTGTCTTCAGAGTACTCTCTGTCTCTCTCCTTTTCATTGCCTTTCTATTTAGCTTTCTGCTTATTACTCAGAACTTTTTAACCACTCTCAGAATACCCATTTGTTACCTTTAAAATGAAGATTCTAGTCCTAAACTCAAGATACATATAGGCTTCTTATTATCTGATGGATATATTTTTCTTTAATGTCCTGCTAGTCCCCTAATACCAGCCCCTCTACCCTTTCTTCTCTCTCCTTGTCCTTCAAAACTAAAATCACCTTCCCAATTACTTCTCAGTTCTTGACAGTGACAACTTTCAGTGAACCTAAATAGGCCTAAAATCAGGATGGGGCAGGGAGCAAGTCTTTAATCCTGGGGGGCGGAGAGATAATACAGTGGGTGAAGCACTTGCTTTGCATGTAGCCTACCCAAGTTCAATCCCCTGTACCCTATGTGATTCCCTGAGCTCGTCAGGATAGATCCCTGCACAGAGCCAGTAGTAAGCCCTGAGCTGTGTCCCAAAACCAAAAACACCCCAAAAACCCCAAAACCTCCATCCTAATGCAACCATTTTTGGAACTCTTACTTTCTTGTCCATTTTTTCTGTTACTGCCCATCTTTTGGAGTTATTTTCTCTGTTCATTCTAAATTACTACAGTTTGTGATTTGTTTTGTTATTTGGAGATTTTGTTTTGTTTTTGTTTTTTGTGGGTTTTTTGAGGGACTATACACGTACAGGATCTGCAGTGATAAATTGTCTTCTTCTGTATTTCATTCTTTGAACATAAAATTTATTGCCAATATGTTGGAATTTTTTTTTTGTCTTCTCTCCTGCTAGCTTTTTAGCTACCTTGACTTTAACTACTTTGACTTACTCTTTTCTTCACTCTTCCTTTTTTTTTCAGCATATATAACATAACATACACATATTATGAATGTTCAACAGACTGCAAATAATTGATTTGAATCTCTTAGTTTCTCCTACTTATTTATCACCATCAGTATCAGCCGAGGTTTGTCTCTCATTGCCGGGGATCAAGGTCAGAACTCAGGCTAGGAAGCAGACTGACTGTAAATATAATACATGATAATAACATGCCCCAGCGGGGAGCCAAGGGAAGGAGGCAAGGGGAGCGAGGGCAGTGTTTTTGTTTGGTGATGCGCAGGTTGAGACCACAGTCTCAGGCCTTTGGGCTGTGTGCTCTACAGCACAGCTACATTCCTGGCCCCTGGTGCAGTTTTTTAAGCTCCGTATTTGAGCTGCGCCTCATACCTGGTTTGATTCTGTTTTGGGTTTGTTTTGTTTTGTTTTGTTTTAATTTTTTTTTACAATTTTTTTTCTTAAATTTTTATTAGTGAAACACCATGAGGTGCAGTTGTAGACTTACAAATTTTTGTGCTTGGGTTTCAATTATACAATGATTGAATACCCATCCCTCCACCAGTGCCCATTCTCCACCACCACGGATCCCAGTATCCTTCCCACCCCCCAGCCCTCCCCCCCATCCCACCCTATCTCTGTGGCAGAGCATTCCCTTTTGTTATCTCTCTCCTTTTGAGTACTGTGGTTTGCAAAAGAGACATTGAGTAGCAGTCATGTTCGGTCTATACTCTACTCTCATCACACATCTCCCATCCTGAGAGGAACCTCCCAACACCCTTTATTTGGTGCAAAAATATGGAACACTTCACGAATTTGCATGTCATCCTTGCACAGGGGCCATGTTAATCTTCTCTGTATCATCCCAATTTTAGTATATGTGCTGCCAAAGCAAGCACTTTTTAGAACTTTTTAAGGTGCAATTAACATACAGTTCAACTGCACTGATTTAAATTGTGCAGTTATGTTTTGAACATGTTGCTAGCCATAAAACTATCAAAAGTTTCTTCCAAATATTTTAAGGCAACTTTCTAAAGAATTTTTTGTGTGTGTGGTTTTGTTTTTATATATTTTGCTTTAAAATGAGAATATCAGCCAGCAGGGCACTTAACTTGCACACAGCAACCCAGGCTCCATCCCGTGAGCACAGAGCCCGGAGTAGCCCTCAGTACCTCCAGGCTAAGCTCGGAAACCAATAAATAAATAATGTCTAAACTGGGAAACTACTGTAGGATTTGTTTGGCTTTTCCTTTTCTTTTTCTATTTTTTGGGGGAGAGGAGGGAGAGATCAAACACAGAACTTCATGCATCTGAGGTCTGTGGTCTCCTGCAGAACTACATCCCCAGCTCAAGGACTTTTGCTTATTTAGTTTAAGCTCATCTGTCCTAAGAAGGACCACCATCTACTACAGTAATTTGATGTTTTTATTTTCATGGTTTTGTTTCGATTTTTGTTTTGTTTGGGGGGCTACAACCACTGTGCTCAGTATCAGGAATCAAACCCAGGTTAGTTACATGCAAAGCCAGTCCAATACCAGCAATTCTGTCTCTGGGTAATTTGTAAATTTCCTAAAGAGTAGAATCCTATCAAAAAAACAATTCCTTACAATTCCTCACAGGTCCAGGAGCAGTAGTAGAGCAGGTAGGGCTCTTGCCTTGCACACAGTGACCTGGGTTCTATGCTGGCATCCCATCTGGTCCCCCAAGCACCACTAGTAGTGATACCTGAGTGCAGATTCAGGAGTAACCCCTGAGTATTGCTGGGTGTGTCACAAAAACTAAGAAGAAAAGAAAATTATGCCCTTGTTCCTGGGAGATAGCTTAAGGAGCTGGAATCCATGTTTTGTTTTGCAGAGCTAGGGATTTAACTTAAGGTCTCCCACATGTAAGGCAAGCAACCAACCTCTCAGCCCCATCCCTGTGTTTCCCAGGCACTGCCTGTTGTGGCCCCCTCCAAAAAGGAAAAAAAAGCAAATGTCTGTAGAAAAGTGCATAATCTTTTTTTTGAATGAGCAGTGTTATAGAAAGGAGACATGTAAGTAGAGTACAGAGTCTACTTTCTTTTTCAGCCATCTCTTCTTCCCAAAGACAGCCCCTACAGTATCTCCTCTTGACACCTAGGTTTCCGTGGAATGTGTTTGAAAATCACTGGCGTAAGTAGAAGGCTAATAGATTCATGAAAAATGAAATCGATGCTTTAGAAAAATAAGTATGAGTAAGAGGAAATGAGATCTTCTCGTGTTGAAATCAGTGTGATGCTCTAAGAGTGCTGTTTTCTCTCCACCCCCCCCACCCCCCCCATTTATTCCCTTTGGCCCGTAGGACTACCCCACCTACACTATCCTTGGTCAGAGTCAGTACCAGCCCTGCTACCCGAGCTCCAGCTTTGGAGTCGCAGGCCAGACGAGCAGCGATGCCGAGAGCAGCACGCTGGCAGCAGCTGCATATCAGCCCGAGAAGACCAGCGTCCTGGTCCCCGCGCCTGCTGTGCAGAGACTTCCCTCTGGTAAGCTCCTCGCTCTCAGGGCTCTTCCTCCAGCAGGCGACGGTGGAGACGATCGTGTCCCTGTCTGTCACGCTTCTGCCGTGCTCTCAGCTTCTCCTCTCAGGACATGTCTAAACACAGAGCTGGTCTGTGATGGGCCGTTGGCGGGATGAAGGGAGCACCTGTTCCTGGCACAGAAGAGTTCCAAGAATGAACGGGTCGTGCCTTTGTGTAACTTGGCCTGTTGCTGTGGGCTGCAGAACTGTTCTTTAGGTCAGGGGTCTTTCAGATTCTGAGGGTGGGGGCTGGAGCAGTGGTACAGCAGGTAGGACACTTGCCTTGCACATGGTAAACCCAAAAATCCTTGCACCACAAAGGGTCCCATGAGCCCCTCCAAGAGTGATCAAAAAGCCAAAGCAAAAAAAAGAAAGAATCTTTTACTTTCTTTTTTTTTTTTGGGGGGGGGTGGGGCTGGTGAACACACCCAGCAGTTCTCAGGTTTGCTCCTGGCTCTGCACTCAGGAATTACCTGGTGGTGCTTGGGGGCCCATACGGGATACCAGGAATCGAACCTGACTTGGCCTCAGGCAAGGCATACTACCCACTGTACTATCACTCTAGTCTCCAAAAAACAAAAGATTCTGAGGGAAAGGTACAGTGCATTCCTCTTCCCCAAAAATACATAAAATTTAATCTACAGTGATCGGGGGACAAGAGTGAATGCTTTGCCTGTGGGAACCTCAGGTTCCATTGCCAGCCTATTGCCAGTCCTGTGGGATTCCTAAACACCAGACTGGGAGTAGCCCCTGACTAATGCCAGATTTGGGGGCGGGGGGAACCTTCCCTGCCAAATTTATTTTCATAAACTCAGCCTTTGAATTTAGGAGATTCCGGGCTTAGAAATGTGCCAGTGAATCACGATATACTTGTGATGAAGAAGACAGTAGCCCCTGACTAATGCCAGATTGGGGGGGGGGGACACCTTCCCTGCCAAATTTATTTTCATAAACTCAGCCTCTGAATTTAGGAGATTCCGGGCTTAGAAATGTGCCAGTGAATCACGATGTACTTGTGATGAAGAAGACAGCGTCAACATCTGTACACATTCAGGAAACAGATTCAGACTTTTGAAGTTTTTTTATTTTATGAAAATTTCATGACTCCTGTAACTTGAGGAAGACCCATCCAATTCTGTCCTAGCCTTCATGCCTCTCCCCCACACCACCCTGGCCCCTATCCCTGCTCTCCTGTGCTTTGTTGCTGCAGGTGCATTGTGCGGGGGGCTCAGACACCCCTGCTGTGCTCGTGGCAGGTTGTTGTGTTAGCACACATCATTTGGGAAACTCATCGGCAGTCACTATTATTCACACAGTGCTCGACCCTTTTTTGTTGTTGTTGTTGTTTTTGTTGTTATGCCCTGTGATACACAAGTGTTACTCCTGGCTCTGCACTCAGGAATTACTCCTGGTGGTGCTCAGGGGACCATATAGGATGCTGGGGATCTAACCCGGGTCAGCCACGTGCAAGGCAAATGCACTACCTGCTGTACTATTGCTCCAGCCCCTGCTGACCCTTTTAGTCTAATGCTCGAACACCCAGCTATTGTGCCAGAGATCACATGCACAGTGGCCGTGCCAGGGTGCCAGACGCTAGAGCCACTGCAGCTGTGGGACCAAGAGCATAGCCACATGCTTACAAGGTAGGTGCTTTTTGGCCACTGAGCCATCCCCGGGCCCCAGCACTTGGACATTTTCCAGAACTGCTCTACACTAGCGAGCAGAATCTTGGGCTCCTTCCCATGAGCTGTCTTCTGAGTGAATATACACAACTTCAGACTTCTATCACTTTGAAATGATCACATGTTTTGATGCCTTAGTTTTGAATTCCAAAATATTTATTTTTGAGGGGGGGGGTTGGGCCTACCCAGCAGTGCTCAGAGCTCACTCCTGGCTCTGGGCACAGGGGTCACTTCAAGGACTGTGTTCAGTGGCGGGGTTTGGACTGGCGTTAGCCAAATTCAAGACAAGCATTCTGTCTCTCCGGCCCTCCCCTAGTATTTGTATCTAAATATCTTTAGGTTGTGGGCTGGAGCAATAGCACAGCGGGTAGGGCGTTTGCCTTGCATGCGGCCGACCCAGGTTCGATTCCCAGCATCCCGTATGGTCCCCTGAGCACCACCAGGAGTGATTCCTGAGTACAAAGCCAGGAATAACCCCTGAGCATCGCCGGGTGTGACCCAAAAAAAAAAAGCAAAATAAATAAATATCTTTAGATATTCGTCGTAGTGATTTTAACATTTTAGGAATGTAAAAATTCAAGCATAGAGATTCTCAGACTAGTCTAATGGTCCCCTGTGTAACTGCCATTGTCCGTCTTCAATGGTTAACACATTGGTGGTCTTGCTATTCCTGGTTTTCATCTGATTATCTGGCAGATGGGCTCAGACTGGTAGAGTTCAAATTTTGCCCCAGAACACCACTGGGATGGCCAAAAATAAAACCCCCAGTGATATTTTACTCTCTCTTCAAATTCCATGCATCCTATTTTTTAAAAATATGTACTTAAAAACATTTAACCATAAACAGGAGAGATGGTGCAGCAGGTAGGGCTATACTACCTCGCACACAGCCAACACGAGTTCGACCTCTGGCATCCCTTATGGTTCCCAGAGCCCCACCAGGTGCAGAGCCAGAAATGCCCCTGAGCATTGCCTGGTGTGGCCCAAAAATTGAATTTAAAAAATCATGGGGGGCGGGGGGAATAAATAATTTAGCCATAATTCCTTAATATAAAATACCAGAAATTTAATTTTCAGTGTGTGTGTGTGTGTGTGTTCTTAGGTATTCAGGATCACTCCTACTCCTAGTGGGGAAAATTAAATTTTTGAAAATAAAATAAATTTATCCTTAGTTCCTTAATATAAAATAAGGGACTTTTTGTGTATGTGTGTGGTTTTCATGTTTATTCTGAAGTATTCAGTATCACTCCTGGTGCAGATTGTACCAGGATTGGCTGCATGCAAGGCAAGTGCCTTATCGCTATACTATCTCTCTGGCTCTTTGCAGTCAATTTTTGGCTTCACTGATCATAGCCAGGTGGGCGGGTGTGCAACCCTTGGTCGTAGAAACTTCAGCTGGGGCTGGCGACAGTTAGGACTCAAGATCCCTGTATTATAACTGCATCAACACAGGTGGATGCCTGTGTTGTCTTTTTTCACCTGTAAGTACTTGGGGGGGGGGGGGGGGGTTGGGGGGCAGGCATGCTCAGAGGGCCCTGGGGCCACTCCCAGCGGTTTTTAGTCAACTAGTCTCCATGTGGGACCCTTGCATTGTTAGGAACCATCTGAGCACCTTGCTGGTGCTTCCAGGGTTATGCCTAGCCTGCTAGATGGCCCTGTGGTGCCAGGGATCACATCAGGGTCATTCACATTTAAGGGATACACCCAACTCATGTACTATCTCCCTGACCCCCATCATTTCTTTTATTTCCTTATAAATTATTGAACATTTTTTTTTTAATTCTGGACCATTTCCTAGTCTGAATTTTCCCAGTCTGAGTTTTGCCTCTTATAACACTACGCCCCCACCCCTTATTAAATTATTTTTGGTTTTAGGCCACACTTGGTGGTGCTCAGGGCTTACTCCTGACTCTGCTCAGGGATCACTTTGGTCATATATTGGGCCAGGATTAAACCTAGGCTGGCTGCATGCCTTACCTGCTATACTATCTCTTTCCCCCGATTATATCTTTATAGGGGATATGTTATGTTGCTTTCTGTGTTTTATTATAAATTGGTAAATCTATAGCGGCAAGGGTTATTTTATTTTAATTTTTATAACATTGTTGTTCACAGTAATTGATTACCTTTAATATTCCAACACCATTCCCACCACCATATTTCAAATTATTCCACCCCGATCCCCAAAGCATATTTCAGCCTTTCCCAGAGCATAACATAATAATTTATTTTGTGGAGCTTGTTACGAATAATCTGCTAAAGATGATCCAAAAATGTTTTCCTTAAGGGAAAGTGTGTGAAGATTGTTATATTTCACTCTGGAGCCATTTAAGTCCTTTATCTAAGAGATTACACACATGTATGTTAAACCCAAACAAGTGTTTGCTACTTTTGGTGCATCGATTGCCCTGTTTCTTGTAGCCAGATTATACATCTCACTTTTGCTTTCTAGGAGACCCTTCTGCAAGCCCGTCTTTGTCGCAGAGCACACCAAGTAAAGATGCTGACGACCAGTCCAGGAAAAATATGACTGGCAAGAACCGGGGCAAGAGGAAAGCTGATGCCAGCTCTTCCCAGGACAGTGAACTAGAAGTATGGGAAGAAACTCTGCTGACTTTTCTGCCTGTTTGGAGTTTTGTTTTCTTCTTTTTCATTTTCTTAAATTTCTCAAACGTGTTTGAAACATAACGAGATAATATGGTTCTCGATTATATATGCCCTTCAACTCCAGGCAAGAGAAACTGAACTGACCAAGTGAGAAGAGAAATACAAAAAAGAAAGTTTGGTTTTGTATGCCTATAATTCACCATCTGGCTTTCTCTTAGTTTTCACCTAAAGTATCAGAAGAACTTTTGAATTTAAGTGGTCAGATAACCTTTGCAGGACCCAGGGTCCTCCATTTCACAGGAGAACAAAAAGAATGGAGCGTCATGTCCACAAAGTTGAGGGTGTTGAAGAGCTTATGAAACAAAATCTGCTTTAATATTTTCAGTGAGAGGACTAGTGCTATAGGACAGATTTTTGTGAGCCAGAGAACCAGGTTGAATGATTTATTATTGAGATCCACACTGTGATTAGGCTCGGTGGAATTTATCATGGTCAGACATTTAACTTCTTTAGTTCTTTTTTCCGAGAGCACACCCCAGCAGTGCTCAAAAAATTACCAGTGCCGCACCTGGTGTTGCTGGAGAAAGAGGCTTGTCTGTGGTGCCAAGGATCAAACTCAGGGCTTCAGACACGCCAGGCACAAGCCGTCTCCCCATTCTTTGGCTTCATAATGTAAAGACTAGAAAGTTACACAAATGGGAGTAGTGGTAGAGTTTTTCATCCTTTTGTCTGTTTTAATTTTTCCTTAATGTGATTATTTATTCAGCAAGGGGGCAAGTGGGCTAGGGAGGTAGTACAGAGGACAAGGCTGTCGGTTGCCTTTTATCTTGCCAACCCTGGTTCTAATCTTCAGCACCACCAGGTGTCACCCACCCGACCCTCCCTCAGAGAGCTAGAAGCTCGCTTCAGAGACAACAGCACCAGGGATGTGATTCACAAGAGCACTTTGTCTAATTTTCACACGTGTGGGAAGATATAACTCAGGCCTTTCATGCCTGAGGTCCTAAGTTTGATCCCTGGCACCGCTTTCACATATTTATAAGTTTTCCAGTTTCCCGTACTACTGATTTCTTGCTTCATTCCATTGTGCTCGAAAAGGCTGATACTTCATTCTTTTTCATTTTCCTCCCTCAGCGGGTATTTCTGTGGGACTTGGATGAAACCATCATCATCTTCCACTCCCTTCTTACTGGATCCTATGCCCAGAAGTACGGAAAGGTAACTCGAGTCTTTCATCCTTGGTTGTGAATGACCCTCTCCTGATTCTCTGGGCAAAGAACCAAAGTCACTTTCTCTGCCCTCTCCCTCTCCATCTGACCCTATTGATTTTTTCCACTTCCCTTTGGCTTTTGTTTCAGTTTTTGTTTTGTAGTGCCGGGCGTCAAGCCCTGGGCCAAACCGTTTTACCACTCGGCAGTAGCCAAGACCTGATTTTTTACTTTTTCTGTAATCTTGACCTGGTTGCTTGTGCTCAGCAAGCCATGTGAGGGCAGAGACTAGATGTAGGACCAGTGCTGCAAGTTCCAGTGGTCTTAGAGGAATCGCCCAGTGGGTTAGAATGCCTGCCTTATCCGCATGGTCATAAGTACGAATCTCTGGTGTTGCCACATGCCCCAAGCATAGACCAGCAGCGCAGCTGTCTGAGCCTGCTGGAGCAGCTGATCTCTGGCAACATGCACACAGCAACCAGTTGTGTGTATGTGCCACAAAGGGGAGCAACCACGAGAACGCCGCAGCTGAGGAATGGAAGTTCCGTGGCCCGGAAGTGTGGTTGCGGCAGGCATAGGCAGCCCAGCAAGGCTTATGTACAGCCCCACAGTCGGTGACACTGGAAATGGGGAGAGGCGAAGGAAATTTAAAAGTTTTCAGGTATAGCTGGGGCCCGAGAAATAGGAGTGGGTAGAGCGCTTGCCTTGCACACAGCCAACCTGGGTTCGATCCACGGTTTCCACAGCCTCCTGTATGGTTCCCTGAGCACTGCCAGGAGTGATTCCTGAATACAGAGCCAGGAGTAACCTCTGAACATCGCCAAGTGTGCCGGCTTTTGTTTTTAAATACAGCAGTTGAATTTGTTCAAGAATGGTATTGTGTAAAGAGTAAGTATAGGAATGAGACTTAAAACAGAGTAGGTTCTCAGAATACATACTCCAGATGCTGATTTTGTTTTAATCCTTTACGTCACATTTTTGTTGTTGTTGAGTAAGGCCATCCTCTACAGTGCTCAGAGGCCATGTGGTGCCAGAGATCAAACCCAGGGCTTTGCATGTGCAGATTTTTTTCTCTCGAGTTCGATCCCTCTCCCTTAAGTCTTCGTTTTGTTTTGGGGTCATACCCAGCAGTACTCACGGCTTACTCTTGGCTGTGAGTTCAGGGAACCCTCAGGGGACCCTATGGGGTACATATTGGGGATCCAGCCTGGGTCATCTGTATGCAAGGGAAGAACCTTACCCGCTATACTATTGTTCCAGCCCCCAGAGTTGGTAAATTATTTTAATAACCCAAAGTGTCTTATTTAGCTGGTTATGTGCCAGATACATAAAAATAAGAGAGAAAAAGTGGGCCATATTGCAAACCATAATGCCCAAAAGTAGCAAGAGATTATGGGGAATCATATCTGCCATGGAGGCAGAGGGAGGGTGGGAAAGGGGGATTATACCAGGGATATTGGTAGTGGGGAATGTGCAGTGGTGGAGGGATGGGTGTTTGATCATTGTGTGATTGTAGCCCAAACATGAAAGCTTATAACTATCTCACGGTGATTCAATAAAATTAATTAAAAAAAAAAGAAAAGCTGGGCCAGACAGTGGATCAGGATTGGAATGTATGACTTCTATGCAACCTGTCCAAAAAGACGAGTTCAGGAGAGAGCTCAGAAACTGGAGTGCATCCCTGCATGCATGGGGCCTTGGTTTGGATCCCACACCCCACATGGGCTCCTGAGTACCACAGGCTGTGGTCCTGATGATCCCTGGGCATCACCACATTACTGGGCTTAGATTAAACCGTCTGCACATATGCTGGGAGCGGCCCCCAAACACCCTGGGCACTGTGAGGAAAGCCTCAGAGGGCTCAACTCTGTTGAGATTGTTTTTGGGGTGGGTGTGTGTTATTAAGATTTTTTTGAGTGTGTGCGTATGTGTTTTGAGCCGGGGGTGGGGGGGCGGAGGAGTGAGTCTGTGTTCCAGAAAGTAATAGGGATGTATGAGTGTTGCACAATTCCAGAAGAAACACTAGTAAGGGCCTGTGTTGTTTTGCCATTCACTGTAGCAATGTAGCACTGTCCTCCCGTTGTTCATCATTTGCTTGAGTGGGCACCACTAACATCTCACAACAAATTGTGAGACTTGTTGTTACTGTTTTTGGCATATCGAATACGCCATGGGTAGCTTGCCAGGCTTTGCCGTGCGGGCGAGATACTCTCGGTAGTTTGCCAGGCTCTCTGAGAGGGGTGGAGGAATTGAACCCAGGTCAGCAAACCCCCTATCCCCTGTGCTATCACTCCAGCTCGTTCATTGGCCCTAAGTAATTCTGAAAGCTTGAAGATCAGAACTTGCGCTGCAAGTGTAGCTCAGTGGCAGAGCATTGCCCTGCATGTGTAGACCCTGGGTCATATCCGTGAATTAGATAGAAGACTGCTACATAGATACATCCATATCAAGTGAATGTGGGTTAGATCCCTGTACGCGTAATGAAAGTGCATGCATCAGTGTGACGCAGATTCTCCTCTTGCTGTGTTCCAGGATCCAACTGTAGTGATTGGCTCAGGTTTAACAATGGAAGAAATGATTTTTGAAGTGGCTGATACACATCTGTTTTTCAATGACTTGGAGGTAAGCATTTAAAAATGTTTCTGTGCTTCATTGAACCATTTTTGCTCAGTAGCTATGTATTGTAACCTGTGCTTACTGTATTTAGAGAACACGGATGTGGGCAGGCTGGGTAGAGAGAGGTCACCCTCAGGCCCATGTTCTCCCTTGATCACATATATTTGCTTGCTTGCTTTTTTTCCACTTTGGAGAAGCCCATGTTCTCTGTTACACCATATTTCCTGTGCCTCTCTTTGATTACATCTTTCTAAGAAAAATCCATTCAGTAAAAATCTGTCTTGGGGCTGGAGCAATAGCACAGCAGGTAGGGCATTTGCCTCGCACACGGCTGACCCAGGTTCAATTCCCAGCATTCCATATGGTCCCCTGAGCACTGCCAGGGGTAATTCCTGAGTGTGGAGCCAGGAGTAACCCCTCTGTATCACCAGGTGTGACCCAAAAAGCACACACACAAAAAAAATCTATCTTGTTGGGAGCCGGAGCAATAATATAGTGGGTAAGGCATTTACTGAGTGCAGAGCCAGGAGAAACTCCTGAGCATTGCTGGGTATGGCCCCAAAACCAAAAAAAAATTTTTTTTTAGTTAAGAAAAAAACTCTTGGGCCTGGAGCAATAGTACAGTAGGTAGGACATTTGCCTTGCATGCAGCAAAACCAGGTTTGATCCCCGACATCCCATATGGTCCCCCAAGCACCACCAGGAATAATTCCTGACTGCAGAGTCAGGAGTAACTCTGAGCATCTCTGGGTGTGACCCAAAAACCAAAACAAAAAAAAAAAAATAGAAAAATGCTTCACCACAAAAAAAGTCTTTTGACATCAGATCTGTAAATGGTTGTGCTCACTTACTGTATTTACAACATGCTGTTGTTCATCTTCCATTAACCTTGATGTCCATAATAATTTCATAGTTGGGTATAAAGAAAAGCAGAAAAGACAGAGCTTCGTGGTGAAATAATTTTTGACATTTGACTTCACTTTTGAAATGAACATGGTATAATGAAAAGTTAGAAGACGGGAGTATAGGGGCTGGAGCAATAGCACAGCGGGTACAGCGTTTGCATTGTACGCAGCTGACCCAGGTTCTATTCCCAGGATCCCATATGGTCCCCTGAGCACCGCCAGGGGTAATTCCTGAGTACAGAGCCAGGAGTAACCCCTGTGCACTGCCGGGTGGGACCCAAAAAGGAAAAAAAAAAAAAAAGAAGACTGGAGTATAAATCCAAGTTTAAGGAAAAAGTTTCCCTGTGTAAGAAACCAGTAACGGTTGTGAAAAGCATTTCTGGGAGATGTGGATAGGTGTCAACACACTTGTCACGTGATGATTTTTCAGTTTTGAGCTGTGCAGTATTTACATACTCTCTGCTTAGTTTCTATTTTGTAGTGAAATTTTAAAGAAACCAATGATGTAAACACAAAGTAATCCTCCTTCTTTTTAAGTGCCATCTAGTTCTACTCGGCAGACCATTCTCCAACAGGTTAAATCTTAGGGCTCTAAACTCCCATCCTTTTGTCTCCATCCCACAGTGCTTTCAGGTTCCCTCCACTTAACAGGTTGCTAAGTTATAACCTCGTGGTTTTTTATTCAGAAAACCTTTATGGAAAACCTACTGTGTGCCAATCATTGTTGCCAAATTATATTTGTAATGATTTTCGAGATAGAGTCCTCACTCAGGACTGAAAGTTCTGTGAAGAATTTGACCTGAATGTGTTCCTGCCCCCCTCCCCGCCGCCAGGTCAGTGGTTCTCGTGTCAGGAGCCTAAGAATCACCTGGGGAGCTTGTTAAAAATGAAAATGCTAGGACTTCACTCCCAGAAGGACTGAATCAATGAGGTCTGGGGTGGACAAGTGACTCTCAAGCCAGGCACTGGGTGGATTTTAATAGTAGTGTAGCTTGATGGAAGGATCTTGGGTTTGAATGTGCTGACCCCAGCCTCAGCCTTCCCTTTCAACTGTCTGCCTATTGTACGCTCTGGGACATTTAGGACATGAGGAAAATGATCAGGATCTCTTCCAGTAGAAATACTTCTAGCTCCTAAATTTTGATTTATGAGTTTCTGTCCCAGCTACTCTCAGTTTTGGCACTGCACTCTTAGCAGCCCATTTTATCTGCAAAAAATGTCTTGGATACATACCGCAGTAGACTAGACTACGGGGATCCAACAGAGGTGTAGGGTGCGGCTCCTCACCTTAGAGGCTTACTGTGTACCAGGACTTCCATTCTAGTATAGGACGAAGACACCAAGACAGTCTGTGAGTTCAGAGTAACCATGAGCTGTCGAAGGAATGAACCGTTGAGATGAAGCGTAAGTAAGAAGCAGGATGGCTAAGGGAGATTTCCCGAAGATGGCGGGGTGAGACTGAGCTCCCCTAAAATATCTGGAGGACAAGGGCTGAGCGCACCCCTCCGCATATGAGCGAGCCCACAGTGTTCCGTCGGCCCGCAGGTTTCCACCGTTCTTCTGGTTGGTTGTGGACGGTAGCACTCAGCTCCCTGAACTGAAACCGTGTGTGGTTTTCTCTTTCAACAGGAGTGTGACCAGGTACATGTGGAAGATGTGGCTTCTGATGACAATGGCCAGGACTTGAGGTGATTAAAAAAAGAAATGATGGCTTAAACCTCCGTACACCTGTTACGTGCAAGACACTCTCTCAGTTCAGATTACTAAGAGCCCTAAGAGAGCTGGTAGTCTGTTAAAGAGACAAGGGTCAAACGTAGCTAATGAGGAGATGCAGTGTGAGAAGGCCAGGGAGATAGCTCAGCATGCTGGACCCCCCGAGCCAGGAGCAGCCCTTAAGCATCCCACAAGGAGCAGCTTCTCAGCACCACCAGGTGTGGCACCAAAAAAGTAACTTTAGACTTTCCAAACTCTGTTTTTAACTTTTGACTGAACCAGGTTCTCTCTAATACTGGAAGCCTTTTTTTATTTTGTTTTGAGGCCACACATATCAGTGCTCAAGCTTACTCCTGGCCCTTTGGTCAGGAATTTCTCCTGCCTTGTCTCGGGGGACAATACGGGGTGCCAGCGATTTAACCTGGGTTGGCTGTGTGCAAGGCAAATGCCCTGACTGCTGTCCCCCACAATGAACTAGTTTATTTTTTTTTTTTTTTGGCAGTGCTGGTGATTGAGGGCCTCAGACCTACAGGGCAAGTGCCCTACCTCTGAGCTATATCCCTGGCCCTCGGGCAGTCTCTCTGTCTCTTTTTATTTTTTTTTCTTTTAATTAAATCACCATGAAATACAGTTACAAACTTTAATGATTGAGTTTCAGTCATACAGTGATCAGGCACCCATCCTTCCACAAGTGCGCATTTTCCACCACCAATGTTCCCAGTGTCCCTCCCGCTACCCCTACCCCACCCCACCCCCTACCTCTACGGTAGGCACCTTCCTTCTTACTCTCTACTTTGGGGCATTATGGTTTGCAATACAGGTACTGAGAGGCCATCATGTTTGGTTCTTAGTCTACTTTCAGCACGCATCTCCCATCCCGACTATTTGGGCAGTCATTTTTAAGTGACATCTTGACTTAGGAAGTATTAATCCCTTTAGCCTACATAGCCGTTACATAGTTCCTAATTTCTGTACATCAAATCCCCCAAATTTAGCTGAAAACAAGAAATATTTATAACCTCATAAATATTTAACATTCCTCTAGGTCAGGAACTTGAGAGTGGCTTAGCTAGGGCAGCTTTGAGTCTGTAACCTCGAAAACAAAGTCTTGCCCTACGCTGTGATTGTTCGAAGGGTTGATTGATGCTCCCAAGCATCACATATGAGGGGCAGGAGCCCCAAGTCTCACTACCTGTGCCTGAGTGTCTTCAGGTGCTCGGCTGCTTCTTTCAGAGCAAGTGCTCAAGGGGGCTGTAGAATCCTAGTCTCTGAGGCACCACGTCCACCACATCCAAGGTTTATCCTCCAAGGGCATCTGACCAAAGAGCCCAGTCAGTGGAGAGGAATAGGATGGAATTTGTAGCTTTCTTGGTGATCCTGAACCTAAAAAAATGAATCTCTGAGGAACATTCCAGTTACCTTGCTGTTATTCATGTTTTGAGTTGAATCCATTATTTTTTCACATGTTTGCTCTATTTTTGCATAGGTGCAGTCATCATGTGTATTGTCCAGACACAGAAAGTTCATAAACGTTATTTTTTTTTTAGAGACATCGAATGCTCTGTCACGCATAATTGTCTCCCGAACCCCCTTCAGGAAATGCTGGTTGGGATAGTTCCAAGCTCTCACTTTCTCTCCCCTTTTTCCCTTTTTTTTTTTTTTTTTGGAGGGATGTAATAAGGGTGAAATTAAAGACTTGAGAGATAGATTCTAACAAGAGAATGAGAGAGGAGAGTCTCAGAGCCATTAGCCGTGGTGTCAGGTGCGGGGAGTGGGGCTGAATCTTAGGTGACTGTCATCTGCCACGTGGCCTGACGTTTTCATTCCATCCTTCACTCTTGTTGCAGCAACTACAGTTTCTCAACCGATGGCTTCAGTGGCTCAGGAGGCAGCGGCAGCCATGGCTCCTCTGTAGGCGTCCAGGGAGGTGTGGACTGGATGAGGAAACTGGCTTTTCGCTACCGAAAAGTTCGAGAAATCTACGATAAGCATAAAAGCAACGTGGGTGGTGAGTGTAGCCTGCAGCCATGTTCTGTTTTTCAGGGATTCCTTAGACAGTCCTGGCAGTTGCTTCTGAGTTTGTGACATGATTACTCTTTTATAACTAGTTATTTGTTATTGAGGTACAGTGGTTTGCAGCAGTATCAGCATTGTTGTTTCATAAGCACAGACAGTTTTGTGTGAGTGTAAACAGTACTGCCACCCCACCCCATCACCAGTGTCCCTACTATCCTCAAGGCTCTTCTCCCACCGGCTCTGCTTCTGCAATTCACAGTTCTACAGTTCCTGGATAGGGTTTGCTTCCGCTAAGGATTGCCTAACCCCTGCCTGCTTTCTTTGTAGACTACATAAGAGCTCAGTCATACAGTATTTGTCTTTTTCCTTCTGACTCATTTCAGTTTTATCCAAGTTGCACGTGGAAAGGACACTTAGCATGACACCCGCAATTCCATCCAAATTGCAGCTAACTGCAAGATTCTCTCTTTTCTCAAAGCTGAGTAATATTCCACATTGTGTATGTACCAGTTTCATTATCCACTCATCAGTTGTTGGGAACTCGGATTATTTCAGTTCCTGCCTACTGTAAATAATTCTGCAGCGAACCAAGTGTGCATTTGCCCTTGCGAGCAAATGTTTCAGTGTTCTCAGGATTGGTGCCATGGAGTAGGATGCTGGATCATAAGGAAATTCTGTTCTTAATTTTTGGGAGAAGGGCCACACCCAGCAGTGCTCAGAGCTTACTCCTGACTGTACTTAGGGATCACTCTGGGAGGTGTTGGGGAGGCCATGTAGAATGCCAGGGACATGCAAGGCAAGTGCTTCACTTGCTGTGCTATCTCTCCATCCTGTTCTTACTTTTTTTTTTGAGAAGTCTCAGATCATTTTCCAGAGAAGCTGAAGCAAACAATAGTCCCACCTATAGTGAATAATTCCTTTTTTACCATGTTCTCGCCCGCACAGTTTGCAGGTTTGTTGACACAGACCATTCTTGCTGGAGTGAGATATCTCATCATTTTCATTTGCATGAAGATGCAAATTTTCATGGTACATTGATAGTGAACAATTTTTTTTATTATTTATTGAATCACTGTGGGAAAAGTTACAAAGCTTTCAGGTTTAGGTCTCAGTCATGTAAATATCAAACACATTTCCCTTTACCAATACTTATTTTTTACCATGAAGAACCCCAATAAAACCCCACCTCCCACCCCTCCCAGTGCCTGTGAGGCAGATGAATTCTAGTTAACACTCTATCTACTTTGACTAGATTCATTGTTTCGACAAAAGATGCACCATTATTATTTGGAGTTTAACCACCCCCCCGCCAAATCAGGCATGCTGAAAAAGCATTGTGCAATGATTTGCTTTCTACAGCTAGGTTCAAGAATTAAATGTTGTCACGCAGCCGCAATAGCGGCCGTGCGGTTTTGGATTTCTGCTATTCTACTTATTAACCCTGGAAGAGATTGGTTTCTGTGCTCTGGAGCTGTGGCCGTGCCGGAGAGCCGCTCGTGGGGGGCAACTGGTGACCTCAGTAGGGCGTGAGGAACGGGCCGGAACGCCCCCCTTCCCATGAGGTTTTAGTCGCCCCCGCACCCCCGGGTCAGACCTGCTCTCCACAAGGCTCCCATGCGGCCGCCATCTTTCTTTCCCGATAGTGAACAATTTTTTATATGTCTGTTGGGCATCACTATGTCCTGAGAGAGGATTTGTTCAGCTTCTCTCCTGTTTCGTTTTTTTCCCCTCCTGACACTCCCTCCCCATTTTTGATGGGGTTCCTTATTGTCATTGAGCCTTGTGAGTGCTTTATATATCTTAGCTATTAGCCCTCTGTTCAGTTTTAGATGTGTGAATTTTTTTTTTTTAATGTAGGAGTACTGCTATTTTTTCAGCCACTGATTAGCTGATTGAATAGGCATGAACTCCGCAGATGTGTGAATATTTTCTCCCTTTCAAAACAATGTCTTTAGTTGCTGGAGAGATAGTACAGTGGGCAGGCCACTTGTCTTGTATGCAGCTAACCCAAGTTTTCCTCAGCACCCTATATGGTCCCCTGGGCCCTGTCAGGATTAAGCCCTAAACACAGCTGGATGTGGCCCCCAAACCAAACAAATTAAATGTATATTACTTCAGGCCTTGTTCCCCCTGCCACCCCTGTCCCCCAGAAGATTCCTTAGTTTGATGTGGTCCCATTTGCTTATTTCTGCCTTGGTTTTCTTGGCAAGTGGAATGGTCATCAGCACAGTAACATTTGAACTTTTTAAAATATGTTTAATTGAAACCCTTCTGGGGAGAAACTACATTTTTCATGAACTTCCCTTAGCACAACTTTGCAATCATAAGAACAGTACTTGGTTGATGTCTTCTAAATGGGGGTGGAAGCACAGCACTCTTTGGGAATGAGGAGACTTCCAGGGCAAGAACCACCAATGGCTGTGTGGCCCTGGGCAGGCCTCCTACCCTCCCTGGGCTTGCCTTTTTCAGAAAGAGATTGGAAGAATACTTTTCATTTGGTGGAGGGCTGCAGGAGTGGGGCTCCAGGGATGGAACCCAGGATTTCACAGTTCCCAGTCCTGGAAAGAAGCAAGAAAGGCTGAAAACTTCCACCTCTACCGCTCAATTTTGGTCCCCTTCAATTCTCAATGTCAGGTTCTAAGAAAGGATTGCTCACGAGTGTGGTGGCCCCGTCTGCAGATTGTTACCAATCAGGGAAAGACATGAAGACCAGAGTGGCAACTCAGAGGGCCAGTGCATGCCGCTTTGCATGAGAGAGCCCTGGTTTGACCTGGTCCCCCAGCACTGCTAGGAACGATCCTAAAACATGGGGCCAGGAGTAGCTACCCTTGAGTACCAGAGATGCAACCCAGCCCTCACCCCCACTCCCCCAAAGGGACTCGAGCTTGAATCTAGTCACATTATTTCATCAGTGGATTTTGTTAAGGTTGTGACCCCCTACCAGAATATTCTGATGAAGAAAGTCAAATCATCTCCCCTGGATGTGTGTGGTCCGTGTTCTCTCCCCAGCGTCTTCTAGCGCAGGCCCCAGGCTGTGCTGTCATGAACCCCAGCACCACTGCAGACACAGAAGAGGGGGAGGGGGAGGAATCATTTTGAGTAGAACAATGCTGCTCTTGGTTTTACCCAGAAGGGAAATAGATTAGCTCAGTATAATATTTCAAAGACTCGTACTGTTTCAAAATTCAATTTAGAAATTGTTTCTTCCGTACCAACAAGAGTGTATTGTGAAATGATGAATGAATCTGCTTTTATTCCCAAAGGTCTTCTTAGTCCACAGAGAAAAGAGGCTCTGCAAAGGCTAAGGGCAGAAATCGAAGTCCTGACAGATTCCTGGTTAGGAACCGCATTAAAGTCCTTACTTCTCATCCAGTCCAGGTACGGCAATGACTCTTTTAGGACTCTTGACCTCAGTGCAGGATCTGCATTCCCTAACGTAATATTCAGGTTGGGGTGAAAGGAGTTTAAATGATAAAGGGTGTTTTTCGGGCAGGGGGAAGATTAACAGAAAAGTCACAACTAAAAGTTTTAGAAAACTGTTTATGCATATTTTTTTTCTTTCCTTTACATTTTGCTCTCAAAATTAAAATTTAGTGATCCATAATATTCTCCAGCCCAAAGTACAGGTCAGTAATATCAAAGAATATGCGTACGAGACAGACCACAAATGTCCTAAGTATAGAACCTCTCAGAGAAATGTACCCAGCATATTGCAGAGTATGCGGAATGTTCCAGTTCCATCCCTGGTACCTGTGTTCCCAGCGTACAGCTAGCAGTAACCCCCAAGCACTACCAGGGATAGCCCAAAGAAAAAGAGAAGGGTGCCTTAAGTAAATTAAATTACAGCTTAAAACTTAGCCCAGAAAATAATCGCAGTCATAGTTACATCAATAACCCGATTGCTGCCTCCATCAGGATCTGAAATTCCTGATCCTTGACTTGTTAAACAATAAAACTGACACCGTGTGGGCTTCTGAGCACAGAGCCAAGAGTAAGCCCTGAGCAAGGCTAGTTGTGGCCTAAATATGAAAAAATAAATTGTATCTCAAATATGGGCTAAATTTTATATCGTTAAAATAGCACTGTAAAAAAAAATAACACTAGCAGAAAACCTCCGTTTTCTCTAAGTGCTATTAGTGGCGTGGATTGGTAGTGTTTGCTACAAGTTACAATGAGCTAAAATGGTTAGAAGGGACGCTGAGGCTAGAATCAAGTCCCTGTACCCATAGGATCTCTGTCTTAATAAGCCTGAGGTGATCAGAAAAGTGGCAGCACTGCCCCTGGGTGAATACCATAGCCAGGTCCTTGTTGGGTATTTTTTAATATCTAATAAAGAGTTAACCCACTTAATTTTTTTCTCCCAGGTTGGTCTTTACCTTTTGTTTTCTTTCTTCCTTCTAGAAAGAATTGTGTGAATGTTCTGATCACTACCACTCAGTTGGTTCCAGCCCTGGCCAAGGTTCTTCTATACGGACTAGGGGAAATATTTCCTATTGAAAACATCTATAGTGCTACCAAAATTGGTATGGTTTCCATGCTATCTCTTCTCTCTAGCCTTCTATCAATACTTCCTACTTACAGCACACTTATCATTTACCAGTCCCTCTGTTAGATCCGATGTATTAGATAAAAATAATATTTACATATAATGTAAATATATGTAAATATTATCGCTGGAGCGATAGCACAGCGGTAGGGCGTTCGCCTTACAAGTGGCCAACATGACCGACCCGAGTTCGATTCCTCCGCCCCTCTCGGAGAGCCCGGCAAGCTACCGAGAGTATTCGATATGCCAGACACAGTAACAACAAAGTCTCCAATGGAGATGTTACTGGGCCCGCTTGAGCAAATCGATGATCAACGGGAGGGCCTTACATATAATGTTAATTGAGATATATAACTAGATATAAAATAGTGTTTTAAATTATAAATAATGCTTAGCAATTATAATATCTAAGATTAATACCATTTATATATACATGTATATCATTGATAAGGCAGTTCTGGTTTCAGTGTTAATATAGCCAGATCAGGGTTTCACAGACAGAAAATTACATAAACAAAATACAAATCCTGGTCTTGAAATTTATTATGTTTTGTTTTTTTTTTAATAGCGTCTGAGCACATTACTTTAGAAATTATTTCTGGGGCGAGAGTGATAGTAGAACAGGTAGGGAGCTCACCTTGCAACCTTGCACATGCCAACTCAGGTTCAATCCCCAACATCCTATATAGTCCCCTGAGCACCTCCAGGAGTAACCCCTGAGTATCACCAGATGTGGATATCCCCCTTTTAAAAAAAAAAATCTGCCTCATCTCAGATTTTTTTCTCTTTCACAGAAAGAGCACTGCATTGTAGAATGCTGGGGAAAGGACCAGATTATAAACATCAAATACTGGAACTGAAGAGAGAACTCAATAGGCTGAGCACATGGGCTCTGTCCTCAGCACTATATGCAGTGCTGGGAATGACCCTGGAGCACTGCCAGTATGGTACCCCAAAACAAAATCATGTACTAAGCTATTAAAACATTGTAGGGTTATAGGAATGTAGGGACCAGAGCAATGAAAGTGGGTGGGGTGTTTACCTTGCCAACCCAGGTTTGATGTCCAGCACCCCATATGGTCCCCCAAGCCCACTAGGAGTGGTCCCTGAAAAGAGTTAGGAGTAAGCCCTGAGCACCGCCAGGTGTGACCCAAAAACAAAAGAAAAAACAAAGAAAAAATTGAATATAAGCATGCACACACACACACACACACACACACACACACACACACACACCCCATCACTCTCATCAAATAGATCAAAGATGTTTAAGGGTACTTAAAAAAATTTTTTTAATGGGGAAAAATATTTTTTTAATGAAAAAGCTTAAAGGGCTCAAACACATACTTTGATTGTAGGAAGCCCAAGTTCCATCCTTGGCACCACATGGACACCAGCACCTCTGGATGTAGCTCCAGGACAAAACAAACAGTAGAAAAAGCATGTGTTAGCACAGAAGGGTGTAGAGATAGTGGAGCCCTCATGCATTTTTGGTGGGATGGTGAAATGCTGTGATGAGTATAGAAATATTATTGCTTTGAGTAAGGCCTAAGCACAGCCGAGTATGGCCCGAAAAATCACACTCACAAAAGAAAAAAAAATGTGGCAGTGGTCAAGGAATATGCTGAGAGGAGAAATTATACTAAGTGTATATACTGATAGAAATGACCCACTAGCTGCAGAAAGATTAGGGAAACTCGTTTGTCAGCCTTTGACAAGCGCTAGAACTAGAGTAGCAACAGCGACCTCGGCCCTCGTGATACTAACTGCCATCCCATGTGCTCCAAGAATTGGGTGCTCCTTTGTGCTGGGATGAAAAACAACTGAAGAGTGAAGTTTTAGTTTTCAGAAGAAAATATTGAGTGTTTATGATCTTAAGTTCAGAAACTGTAGAAAGCTCAAAAGAAGAAATAGTGCTTTGTATGCAGAAAACCAAGGATAGGTTCCCAGCATTGCACGGTCCACCGAGCATCACTGCGAGCAACCCCCAAGGTCCGAGCACCACGACAGAGTGCCCAAAACAGAAAATAATAATAATGATATGGGGGGTTGTCATTTAGTGTGTAGCTTTTAATTCTACACATACTGAAAGAAAATTTTTTTTTTAATTGACACGACAGGCCATGACAAAGACGACGCTGATAACATCAATTAAGAGTAATTTCCCACTTCCTTGTACCAGACTTTGTCAAGGAAATGACAATACTTTCTCTGTAGATGGGATTTAAAATGGATATTCCTCCTGGGATAGAGAGACTAATGCAGAGGTTATGGCACTTACCTTGCATGTGGCTAGGCCTAGTTTGATCCCCAGCAACCCATATTGTCCTCTGAGCACTGCTGTGTGTGGCCCAAACTACCCTCCCTCTACACACACACACACACACACACACACACAAATAAAGGCTGTCTTTTTGGAGAAGAGCATAAGTTTGAGACACACGTATCCCTCTGCCCATTTGTCCCCAGAGCAGCTCTCACAGTACAGGAGCAGTGGTGAATGGTTGCAACAGATTCGCACAGTAGCCCAAGATCTTTACCAGCTGGCTTTCGTTTGTTCAGTTGGTTGCTTTGGTTGGAAGCACGATTTTGCCGTGGATCAAACCCAGGGCCTCATGCCTGCTGTGTGTGGTCTCTGCTGAGCCGTCTCCCTAGACCCTGTTTAAACTCTAAAAGATAAGTTCGCTTGCCCCTGTGCCTGAGTCCTTTCATGTGCCTCAAGAGACTTGTATAAGGATATTTTGGGTGCAGCCTTGTTTATAATTTAAAAAAGAAGAAAAACTGGAAGAGCCAAGGAACCTGTCTGTGAACAGAACGTCACTGTCACTGTCACTGTCCTCCCATTGTTCATCGATTTGCTCGAGCAGGCCCAGTAACGTCTCCATTGTGAGACTTTGTTGTTACTGTGTTTGGCATATCGAATACATCCGCTTGCCAGGCTTTGCTGTGCGGGCGAGATACTCTGTAGCTTGCCAGGCTCTCCGAGAGGGGCAGAGGAATTGAACTTATGTTGGCCGTGTTGGCCACTTGCAAGGCAAAAACACCCTACCCGCTGTGCTATCGCTCCAGCCATGAACAGAAAGTAAATGGATAAATTCATGCTAGGCCACACAGGGCCTGAATCTGTGGCACCTCATTACCCTCACACTCCCCCAAACCTGAGGACTCCACCCACAGTCCCCTCTGCTGGACTGGCATCACAGAACGGTCTTGGCCCCACCCCCTCCACCATTGTGGGCTGTGGTCCCTGGGTTTTGTTGATTTTGTTTGGGTAGGGGGGTTAAAGAAAAAAAAAAGTGAGGGTCAGGGCATGTGATATGGTGTACAGTGGTACAAAACTTGTATGTGTGAGAACTTATGGTCTAGTTGCAGCCTTGCCGCGAATATAGAGGAAGGGGGACTAAAAAATGGGTGAAAAGAAATTACATATACCCATAAGGAGTATATTGAAAAACCTGGTTGAACATCTTCACACATGCGAACACATTGAAGGTAGATGTGTATAGTATGTGATAGTATGTAAAGTAGAACACACAGGGGACGGGACTGTGGCCGGGAATAGACAGGGCCCTGGGCAGTCGCCGTTACCACAGGGCCTCCCCCCAAAAGAAAATCAAAAAAACATTCACAGTGCTGCATATTGTTTCTGTTTGCTTTGGGTTTCAGGGCCACACCCAGCTGTGCTCAAGGCTTACTTGGGGCTCTGCGCCCAGGGATCACTCCTGACGGGACTCAGGGGACCATACTGATGCCGGGGATCAAACCCGGGTGGGTGGCATGCAAGGCAAGAGCCCTCCCGCTGTATTATTGCCGTAGTCCCTGTTCAGAGAGAAAAGGGGGGAAACAACAGTATCAGACAGGGGTACATAAGAAACTTCATATGAGTATGCAATATCTCTTCAGATTTTTTTTCTTTCTAAAGCGTTGAGATTTGACATAGCTAGGTTAATGTTCGGTATAAAGGCATACTTCTAATTATTCTCCATACTTTGTTGTACAGTGGAATTGTTTCATTTACAAGGGATTTACAGCAAGAAAATATATCTAAAGCCTCTTTCAGATTTTACTGCTGCAGTTACTGCTTTGCTTTACATTTCATGAGACATCCAGATTCACTCCTGAAAGGCAGATTTCCTAGACTGTCTATGACACGGAGTCCTGGCACCAAGTCTCACCAGTCTCATGAAAATTGTTTTCTGCTTCCTGACAGTGTGTGCTCACTTAGTTATTTTCCTTGATCTCATTTTTCCAGAGCTAATAGGTGAGGCCTGGCGGTACCCGATAACCACAGAGGGGGGAGGCCTGAAGCTTTCCTTCACAGAGCTGTGTAATAGGAGCAAGAAGAGGAAATGTTTCTTCACTTTCTCTGCAGCGATTCCAGCATTGTGGTCCTCTTAATAATGTCTACTCTTCGAGAATTTTCAAAATCATTTCTCAAAATGACAGACATGTTTTTTGTGGTATCAGGGGTCGAACCCAGGGCCTCACATATAGAAGGCGAGCACCCTACCACTGAGCCACATCCCCAGTTCCCAGAAGTGTTTTTGGTGGGGGAAACCCAGGAACCCAACATTCTCCAAAGCTTTGCTCACCGGTGCAGTTACAGGCTCCGAAGCTAGACAGTTGGTGAGCTGGCTGGTCGTCCTCCTGCCAGACAGGAAGGCTCACCTCCAGAATTGTCTTGAGAATGTGAAGTGGAAGGCTTCCCAACTGTTTTAGAATCATTTTCCTGTGTAACTGCTTCTTTATTTGAAACTCTCTCAAGCCCTGAATCCTTTTAGAGAAGACATTCCTCAAAATATATCTTGTCTTTGATCTTTGCATGCCAGGACAAGGAAAACGTCCCCACATGGTGCTTGTTCTCCACTTTTAAGACATTCTCTTTCTTGGGTCTTAGGGAAACAATCTAAAATAATTTTTGAGAGAGAGAGAAAGAGATTGTGTTGTTATTGTTGGGGGTTGTTTGCGGGGGGGAGGATTATTGTTGGGGTTTTTTGGTTTGGTGCCACACCCGGCAATACTCGGGGTTTACTCGTCTGCACCCAGGAATTACTCCTGGAGGTGCTCAGGTGAATATATGGGATGCTGGGGATCAAACCCGGGTTAGCCAGGTGCAAAGGTAAGCACCCTGCCCGCTCTGCTATCTCTCCAGCCCCTACTGTGGATCTGGCAGAGTTTGTATTAGGTTGTAAGAATATGTTAATGCTAATAGAATTAGACATGAAAGTTCTTCAACACTTAGCAAAAAGAATACATTTAATGTTTGAATTGGACCTTAAGATATAAACTTTCGTCATCCATTACAGTTTTATTGTGTGATTAATGGTGCCTATTGTGAGATTAATAAGCATTTACTCGGCAACACTGATGGAAAGCCTGATCCGAATGCAAGGCTTATGGCAATGCATCTGTGAGGTGCTGGCAGTGAAAGAGACAAAGTGCGACTATGCCCGACCCCAGTGGGCCACTTCCCAGGAGGCACCACTTAGGTTTGGGATGACAGAAAGTTGTTTTGTTATGCCACAGAGAGTGTCTGAGCTTTGAGTTCTGCTCAGAGTATATTCTCCTTAGACCTGTGTGTTTCTTTTTTATTACAAGAATTTAGCAGCAGGTGGCAGTCAAGTGCTGGAGAGAGTATAGGGATTTGGTGCTTAGAACACCATGTGCAGTACTGGGGATTGAGCCTGGGTTCTCTGAGTGTGACAATTGTCACAGTGGAGAAGTTACTGGGCCCGCTCAAACAAATCGATGAACAACGGGAGGACAGTGACAGTGATTTATGCAAATAAAATACTCTTTCCGGGACATTATCATCTTTGCATGTTTTAGGTATTGGCCATGTGGTATTTGAATTTTGATGCACTAATATGTTTCTCAGAACCACCCATAGTGAATTTTTGTCACCCATTGCCCAGGGTCAGTTTTAGTGATACAGTGTCTCAGTTGCAATTACAAAGTATGGTAGGGGAGGGGGCTGGAGCAATAGCACAGCAGGTAGGGCATTTGCCTTGCACGCAGCCAACCTGGGTTCGATTCCCAGCATCCCATTTGGTCCCCTGAGCACCGCCAGGGGTAATTCCTGAGTGCAGAGCCAGGAGTAACCTCTGTGCATCGTTGGCTGTGACCCCCCCCCCCAAAAAAAAAAGAAAGTATGATCGGGGAGAAATTCCTAGTGTGGCCAATGCTGGCCTTCGAATTGGTTCTCTGAGTTTCTCACGTCCTGAAAGACAGCACAGTCTCTGACTCAGACTATGTCCAGAAAATGAAGACAGGAAGGGGAATTATGTTTTCCAATATTGAAGTAAAGGCCTTACTCTTCCAGTTGCCTTTCATACACTATAAAACACTGTAGCAGAGGCTACAGTGCATGGGTTTGTGTTTGGGTTTATAGGAAGTGTGTGCCCCTGGCTGGAGCAAACTGTGACCCTGAGCCATTGCCTGGCCCTTGCCAGTAGACTGTGGGCACTGAAGTACTCCCAGCTCATTGCTTGGGGTCACTCCTAGTGGTGCCCAGGAAACCCATGAGTGAAGGGCGATCTAACTCAGACCTCCAGCACACACAGCGTGGACTCAACGGAGTGGTTTCTCCATGGATTCTTCAGTGCCGTCTCTTTTTTTTTTTTTGAGGAATTATAGCTATTGGGGGAAGGGGCTGGGTTATTCCTGTCACTTTTCAGGGATTACTCCTAGTTCTGTGTTCAGGGACCACTCTTGGAGGTGCTAGGGAACTGTATGTTGTGCCAACGATCGAACCCAGGTCAGCTGTATGCAATACAAGTGCCATACGAGCTGTACTCTCTCGGACCCAGAATTGTTAATTAATTGTAACAACGGTCCATTCCTCCCGTTGTTCATCAATTTGCTCGAACGGGCCCAGTAACGTCTCCATCGTGAGACTTTTTGTTACTGTGTTTGGCATATTGAATACATCGCGAGTAGCTTGCCAGGCTTTGCCATGCGGGCGAGATACTCTCGGTAGCTTGCCAGGCTCTCGAGAGGGGCGGAGGAATCAAACCCAGCTCGGCCAGGCCAGCTGTGCGCAAGGCAAACACCCTGCTGCTGTGCTATCGCTTCAACCTTAATCATGTTAATTAGTAATAATTACAGAACATTAAACAGTTCTTTAAAAAGTATCCCCTCAGGGTCAGAGCAATAGTACACGAATAGAGCCTTGCACACGGCAGCCCTGGTTCGATCGCCCACACATTATATGACCCCCGAGCACACCAGTAGTGATCCCTGAGCACAAGCCAGGAATAAGCCCTGAATATCACTGGATGTGATTTATTTAAAAAAAAAAAAAAAAGAGTGTCCCCTAAAACAAAAAATCATCCTTTATCATGTCCGGTCACAGCCTAGCCTGGATTCATGATCCCAAAATCTACCTATAACTCATTTGTGATCTGGGATCAGTTATTGGTCTTTTGGGTCCTATTTTATCTGTAAAATAAGGAACCGCATTATTTTGAGAATAAAATGTAAAGTAACTTGAAGGCAACTTTGTAAGCTGTAAAGTGTAGGGGTGGGCCAGAGAGACAGTACAACGAGTAGCACATTTGCGTTGCATGTAGCTGACCTGGGTTCGATCCCTGAGTGCAGAACCAGGAGTAAGCCCTCAGCACTACTAGATGTGCCCCCCCCCCCCCCCACCAAAGAAAAGACTAAGGGCTGAAGAGAGCTCAAAGGCAGCTTTGCATGCAGGAACCCTGGCCATAAGAACCAAGCACTGCCAAGTGTGGACTAGAAACAAATAAATTTAGAAAGCATTTTGTTCTGGCACAGGTAGCTTTGGGATTCCCAAAGAGTGCTTAGGGGCCCTAGAGCTTTCAAGTGCTGAATCTTTAGCTACTGACCCTATTTCTCACCCAGCAAAGCACATGGGCTGCCATTAATTTTATTTAGATTCACAGAAGGATGAAGTCAGCAAAACCCTTTCCGTTGGTTTTGAAATTAAGATAGGGAGGAATATCCTAATAGGGAATTTTTTTTTTCTCATTAGGTAAGGAGAGCTGCTTTGAGAGAATTGTTTCCCGGTTTGGAAAGAAAGTCACGTATGTAGTGATTGGAGATGGGCGAGATGAAGAAATTGCAGCAAAACAGGTAACATGGTAAAGAGTATCTTGGGGCCCAAGCAATAGTACAGCAGGTGGAGCACTTGCCTTGCACACAGGCAACCATGATTCAATCCCCACACCACATATGGCCCCCCGGCCACACCGGGAATAAGCCCTGAGCACCACTGGGCTCCCAAAAAACCACCACCAAAAAAAAAAGAGTATCTTACATGGGAGAGCATCAAGCAATTAGGAAAGTGCTACAAACATCAGATATTTTAGGGCCAGAGAGAGAGCTCCAAAGGCCCATGTTAAAAAGAAGGGGGTGGGGGGAGGGGTACTTCCTTTGCATATATGAAGGCCTGGGTTGGTCCCCAGCACCATAAAGAAAAAGGGACAGGACTAGAGATACAGCTCAGTTTCTCTAGGCCCTGGCTTCAATCCCATACACAAGGGGGGTGGGGGCGGGAGGGAGGAGAGAGAGAGGAGAGAAAAAGAAGAGAGGGTTACTTTTCCCCAAAATGGCATTTCCCTTCAAGGTGTTCTCTCTTCTCCTCATCTTCCTCAAAAAATTTCAGTCCGTGCTCAGGGATCAGCCTTGCTTGTGACTGATTTGATCTTAGCATGCATATAGTCCTGAGGACCACCGGGTAGGGCCCAGAAGCAAAGAAAAAATGTTCTGGGCCAGTTATGAGGTAACAGTGTTACTGGGCCCGCTCGAGCAAATCCATGAACAATGGGAGGACAGTGACAGTTACGAGGTAGTCTGAAGTGTAAAGAGGAAATTGACAACCTGTAAGAAAGTGTAATATGGCTCCTGAAGTCTGCTCTAAAGGTCACGACATGTCCAGAGTCCATCTGTGTGCAGTTTACCTGACCTTTTGGACAGCGCTAGGTGGTGGGTAGGAATAATGGCCCAGTGTGTGGAGGAAGGGCTCTGGGGAAAGAGAAGCGCCCAGAATCAAATAGCGTTAACCCGCTGTCCCCCTCGCCCCCCCAGCACAACATGCCTTTCTGGAGGATCACAAACCACGGCGACCTCGTATCCCTGCACCAGGCTTTGGAGCTTGATTTTCTCTAAGAACTGGAATGAAGAGCCTTCCCCATGAGCTTCTCTCTCTCGAAGGGGCTAGAGACCGGAACTGCCTGGGAACTCTCCCCCCACCCCCTGCCCCCCCTTCCCCTTTCTCCATGGAATGCCGGCGAGAACACAATCAGAACCAACAGCTGCAAGGGATGAAGCTTATTTTTGCTGAGGAAGCTGCAGCCCTGCATCCACCCTCCTCCGGAACAGGAGACGGCTGGACGGAGGGAACAGACTTCCCACAGCCACCGTGCTTTTAATTCTTGGGGGGGTGGTTTTGTTCGTTTGTTTGTTTTGTATTATACTTTAAAACAATGATGAAAAAGAAAAGGACATTGTTGGGAACAGAGATGCTTCTCTTGGTCCGGGGCCACACTGAGACCTGCTCTTAACTGCGGGGAAAGGGTCCACGCAGCAGGACATCTCTTGCAGTCTGTAGAACCTCCTTAGCGCTAGGACATATTCCCAGTGAATGTATGTGTTACTTTTATAGGTAAGGGTCTGGTCTCTGAAGCAGGTTTTTCTCCCTTTCTTTTTCTTGGCAAGAAGGGGGTGTGTAAAGTTCCCTGGAGAAACGGTCACTGAAACATCTAAAATACCTCTGACAGCGGCACCTCTGGGATGGTTTCCTGTTCCTCCATCTCCTGGTTCACTGGACTGTGGGGCACTGGACACTGGTTCACCTTACACTTTGGTATTTCCCATCCTGAAAGCCTTAGTCCCCTTTTGAACCCCTTTTCCCCCCTTTAACAAATGGCACAACCCAAGGGGCCCCTTCTCTGGGCTCTTTTCTTCACAGACTGTCCGAGGAGGCATACTCCAAGCTGCAAAGGGACCAAGGCTTCTTTGGCTCTTGAAACAGGAAGATGTTATTTTTCCCTCCTTCCGAGAAGCACCTTTCCCCAGTAGGCATCCCCCGCCCCATAGCCTTCTCTTCCCTTCTGAGGCATCAGTGTTCCCCCCTTGCCCGTTCGACGGCCTTTGCCGCTCACATATCCCCACCCGCCCTGCAGTGCAAGCCCGTCCCTGGACTTTGGACGCAAGAAGTTTAATCATGTCTAATCCCAGACTCATAGCTGTTTAAACACCAATGCATTCGACTTCCGTGGAGGTCCGTGAGGTCTCAGAAAAGGTATTCTGAACATTGACTCAGCCCGGTCTTTGCCTGAAGCAAAAGCAGATTGCTCTCATGCTATTCTGGGTTGGTTTTGTTTTTTGTTTTTTTGGTTTTAGTTTTGGGGACACACCCAGCAGTGCTCAGGGGCTGCTCCCTGTGGTGCTCAGGGATCGTGCAATGCCCAGGTGTCCAGTGTACAAAGTGTGTGCACGGACCCCTCAGGGTCTCCCTTGCTCTCGTTCTAAAGTGGAAAAGTGGAAGGAAGAAACATCTTCCTGGATTAAATGAGGGAGCTGGACTCCCTACTCGATGCCTGAAAATTCATTTTTGGCCAAATGCAGGAACATCTCTCAGCCCCATGTTAGTGCTGGGCACCAGACCCAGCCCCCACCCCAGCTGTTTGTGGCTTCCCCACCCGTTCCAGCCAACAGGGCGTCTGCCCAGCCAAGGGAACGTCCCGGAGCTGCACAGAGGCATGGGATGATAGTAGGTGCCCAGAGGAGGCGTCCTTGGCCCCCACCTACAGTGGCTTGTTTCTAACGATTCTGCATTTCCGTTTCTGGAGATGGGGCAGCAGAAGGAACAGACCAGTCCAGTCCCGGGCCAGCCAGGTGTCCATGTTGCTTCCACCCAGGGCTGCCTGACGGTGGACCGGGTTCTGGAGGGCCCCGAGTCAGGACTCATTAGCTGCCTCGTTGGACTTGTTCGCAGAGGCTGGGGCCGGGCTTCCCTGAGCAGTGCTCAGCAGGCTGCCCCAGGATGGCTTTACCTTCTAGAAGGCTAGGAAGGCCCTTCCAGCCCAGCAGGCTGTTTCTCGCCCTGGACTTAGGCAGCCTATTGGTTTGGTGCTCGGCTTCGGGCTGGCAGGGCTGTGGATTGGTGCCTCCATCACACAGACAGTTCCCTCTGCCTGCCCTTCGGGAAAAGCTTTTTATTCCTAGCACGGGAGCCGGGACTCCTTTGGATGGCCACCTCCTCCTGCCCCTACTGCCCAGTGCGGGCCTTCGTGAAGGAACGTGAAGTGAGCCACGAGGTGAGAATGCTCCGCGCAGGGCAGTCTCGGCCCTGCTGGCTGTGCCACCCTCCTCAGGGAGGGGCCGGCTAGAGCCAGAGCTGCCCTGACACCCACTGCCAAGATGAACCTGAACCAGGAACACAGAGCTCTCCTCTCCCCCCACGCCAGCGCTCTTGGGAACTGTTGTGGGTCCGTTGCCAGGGGGAAGCCTTTCCTCTTTCCCTGTGGAATCATTCCCTGCAGGGTCCATAGGCTGTGTCCTCACATTCTGCAGGGGACAGGGTGTGACGTTGTTGGGTGTGCCCCGGGTTTAAGAGGTGGCTTGACTTAAGAATGTAAAACTGACTGTGCCTTAGTATCACCCTGTCCGGCATCGCTGGGCTGCCAGGGGTTTCCAGGAGACCGGGTGCCTGCCTAGGTGCCTGTTGGGCCTTGGACTGGGTTCGGGACATTCCCGTCTTCTGCTTGGCAAGTTGGGGGCAAAAGCACTAGTGTCCGGAGGCATTTAGGCTGCAGCTCCTTGACCGCTGACACAAATGGCGGTTTTAAAGCTCCAAGTAGAATCGGACTGGCCGGCTCCAGCCACTGCACACGGAAATTGTAGATGTTACTGCCTAGAGTGGGTGTCAGAGGTGCTGAGTCCCATTCTCCTTCCCGGGAGAGCACAAGCAGGTAGGGAGCGCAGGAGGGCAGCCTCTCCAGATACCTGCAGAGGGCAGTGAGGGTCTCCTTCCACTTGCTTCCGTTTCTCACACCCCCAGTTTCCCTGTTCATCCAAAAGTTCACACTTCCCTGGTTTCTTACCATGGGTGGAAGCCAAATCTGCATTCTGCAATTCTTTTTTAACCATGAAAAGATCTAGCTCTCTCCTGTTCATCAGCAGGCCTTTTGTCCCCTCTTCCCCGTGAGTTAGAAAGTTCTGGCATGCAAGGCTCCTTCGCCCAGCCCTGTGCACTGAGAAGCGAGCTCCTACGGCAACATCCGCTCCTAACACGAACCCGACTCCAGGCGTCTCCAGTGTAGCAGGAAGGCATTGGTGGGACTGGATCTATTTATGTGACTGCGGGCATTCATGGCTGTAGAGTCCTTGACCATAATGTTATATGTAATGGGAACTATCTTATAAACTTGAAAAATAAAGTTTTTATTTTCTATACAGTTTGCTCCTGCGTCTTTTCTGAATAGGACCAACCCAGGGGCCCCCGCTGAGCAGGTTTCCAAGTTGGGCTTCTAGCACTCATTCAAAAGACACCCCTTCCAATACTGAGCCATTCATTTCACCAAAAAAGGCAAAAATAAACCATTTGGTATAAGTAAATGTACTTGGGAAAGTGATATTTTTAAATAATTTGCAAGGGAAAGTATTTTGTTTCTAAAATCATGCTTTTCAAAGCTTAGAACTGGAATTAAGAGTTCATTTGCTGTCAAATGTGCTGAAATTAACATCAATACCTTGCTGTGCTGAACTTATAGTGCAAAAGCAATAAAAGTAACAAACTGGTATCAAACTTTGTTTGACTTGATTTCATTTTATATTAGCTAACTTTTCTCATCTGTCTTCAGATTTGGATTAACTGCCTCAGTGGCCAGGAGAATAGTTCCTCCTTTCCTCTGTCTTCCTAGAGATTAAATTTGGGCTTGAGCTTTCAGGTACCAAACATGTAAGACCGAAAGATATAGCTTGGCCTTTTTTTGTTGTTTGGGGACCACACACACCAGTACTTAGGGGCTGTTCCTGGATCTCTGCTGAAGGGTCACCCCCGGCAGCACTCAGAGGACCATAAGCAGTGCCAGGGATCAAACCAGTGTTACCCACACATAAAGCAAGTGCCTTAACCCATGTACTTTATCTCTTGCCCTTGGTGAGAATCTTCAAAGAAAATTTCTAATTGCAAGTAATGTCACTCATTTTTAAATTCTTAATTATCTGAACTTTATAGCATAGAAAAGAAGCAAATAGGACTGAGAGACTCAAGGGGCTGGAGCACATTTTGCATGTGAGAGCCCCAGATGCTACCCCAATTACATACTACCATGATTTGACTGTTTCTTCTAGAGAGCAGAGATGAGTGCTTAGCCAAATCAATCTAGACACTTGTTTCCCCAGAAGAATTTGTTTTTAACCTTTTCCCAATCATGGCCCACTTTTTTACCTTCCCCCCGTCATACCAGTTGGGCTGCTAGTCTCACACTATGCCCCCCCTTCCCTCCCCCTCCATTTATGTGATTTTCATCTGTATTCCCATAGCTTATAGGGCTGGTATTTATGCTCGGCCTGTAAGAGCATGGATTTGATCCTTTATGGAGCTTATGCCAGGCTCCATAAAGTCCCCCAGCACCAAACATCTATGGATAAGGCCCCAAAACCAAAAAATAAAACTGGTACCCTTTGGGAGACCCAGAGAGATAGTATAGCAGATAAGACACTTGTCTTGCACATAGCTGACCTAAGTTCAATCCCTGGCACTCCATATGGTCCCCCAAGCCCCACCAGGAGTGATCCCTGAGCAGAGCCAGAAGGAAGCCCTGAACACTGCCATGTTTGGCCCAAAAACAATAAAACTGGGCTGGAGCGATAGTACGTGAGCAGGGCACTTGCCTTGCATGTGGCTGACCTGGGTTTGATCTCCAACACAACATATGGTCCTCCAAGCACCACCAGGAGTTACTTCTGAGCACCACTGGATATAGCCAAAGGGAGTCAGATTTCTCAAAAGTCTAAGCAAGATGAGAACGGAGGGCCCAAGAGAGTATAGTGGTAGGGAATCTGCCTTGCATGCAGCTAACCCAGGTTTGATCCCCAGCACCCTATATGGTCTCCCAAGCCCACCAGGAGTGATCCCTGAGCACCACCAGGTGTGGACCTAAAATTAAAAAAAAAAAAAGACTAGAATATATTTAAAATACTTAAGGCGCCAGAGCAACAGTACAGTGGATAGGGCATTTGCCTTGCCTCTGGCTGACCTGGATTTGATCCCCAGCATCCTATATGCCCCCCCCATGTACCACCAGGAGTAATTCCTGGGTGCAGAGCCAGGAGTAGCCCCTGAGGTGAGGCCCTGAGCATCACCAGATGTGACCCAAAAAAAACAAAATACTAAATGAAAAGAACATCCAAATAAGAATTGTCTAATCTGCAAGGCTATAGCTTTTTTTTTCTTTTTGGGTCACACCCAGCAATGCACAGGGGTTACTCCTGGCTCTTAACTCAGAACTACTACTGGCAGTGCTGGGGGACCATATGGGATGCTAGGAATTGAACCCAGGTCGGCTGCATGCAAGGCAAATGCCCTACCTGCTGTGCTATCACTCCAGCCCCTATAACTCAGTTTTAAGGGAGTGATGAGAATATCCTCAAATAGCTGTTGGCCTTTGTTTACTATAACCAGCTCTTCCAGGAACACTAAATGGCCTCCTATAAAAAGTTAAGTGCAAAAGACATAAAAATCCTCGTAAAAACAGGCAATAGACTCCTTCACATTAGGCCAGAGAACTATCTCACCAAGATGAGTGCATGCTTTGCTCCACTTAGTGTGGCCCAACCTCCCCACACAAAGGAAATAGTCACTCCCCCACATTGCTGGTGTGTCCCCCCCATAATAAAATTAACTCGTTTGGAAAGCTTCATGAGGTTTTAATAATAACCTAATAATACTGTTAAACAAAAACACTTGGTGGAGACACACAGGCACAGACCCCCTTCCGCTCACTTGGACTGAGGTAGAAATCACAGCCTAAAGCACAGGAAACAGCAGCCTGAGTCCTGGCCCGGCACCCAATTTCACTAGGGCCTTGGTTGCATCCCTGAGTGGGGGCCGCCTGAGTCAGCTCCCTACGGTTCTGGAACTGGCAGGCAACAGTTAGGAGCAGCGAGCAAAGGCCCCAGAGGCAGCCAAGTGCCACTGCGTGATGGTCCTGTCATAGCAGATGTCCTCTCAATAAACTGCATGACAAGTGGGGGCAGGGGACAAAGAATTCCACATCCTGGAGTCCTGGGACCTTCGAGCCCAGGACAGGGGCATGAGTGCATGTGGGCACCTCCCCTGGGTTGTTACATACTTTGCGGTACAGGGGATGAACCCAGGGCCTCACATGCACAAGACAAATGCTCTACTGCCAAGTTGCTGTTCCCAGGGAGGTAAGAACCACAACCCTGAGGTGCTTTACCGCAGTGATACAGCGGCGTGAGAAAGGCTCTTCCTCCAAAGTCTCCAGCCTCACTGTCTCCCAGCCTGAAGGACAGTTCGCGGGCACCCTCAGGAATGGCCTCCAGCACTCATAGCAGCATTAGATCAGCTTATCTCCTGCATCCTCCCTCCCTGGGACTGTGTCCCTCCCTCTCTTCCTGGCAGGATCTCACCAGCCTCAAAGCATCCCACTGTCCTCTCTGATCTCCAAGAAGGCAGCCTCCCCCATGACCTGGGGGAAGAAGTTCTGCGCCAGCTGGGCCATGCGCCGGTTCTGAGGCAGCGGCTGTGGCTCGAGGGAGCGGGACCGCAGGCTCCCGTCCACTTGGTCGGGCTCCCAGTAGAGGCTGGGATGCAGCCAGCGGTAGTAGGCCAGCCTCAGGGCCTGGCCCAGCAGGAAACAGCCCGCGCCCACCGGTAGCACCGTCTGCAGGGGCGTCTCGCTGGGCAGCCAGGTCCTCTCGGTCCCCCACGTGAGCACCAGGAGTACGCTGTCGCTCAGTAGGAATGCCCCATGGATGGTGGCTCGGCCTCGCGTACGGCCGTCTGCCACGTTAAACCAGGAGAAATAGAGGATGGTGGCCACGGTGGCCCGGTACAGCCACTCGGAGCGATGATCAGGCATGAAGGCCGTGCCCTGCAGCCAGACCCAGCCGACCAGCACCAGCCACAGGCCCAGGAAGTGCAGGGCCACGTAGCAGGGGAAGAGAGCCGCGAAAAGGGCCACGGCCAGGACTCGGGGCCACAGCAGCAGCAGGTTCCACAGGAAGTAGAGCATGGAGGCAGCCGGCCCCAGGCGGGGCTTGGAAGGCAGGCAGGTGCGCAAGGCGCGGTGGTAGTCCAGCAGTGCCCAGGAGATGCTCACGAAGGACGAGCAGATGCCAAACCCTGCAGGCAGGAGGATACGGTGAGCCTAGGGGTCAGTGTGCCAGGAGCTTCCCCGAAGTCCCAGGTTCCCCAAACTGGACACTGGAATCTCTATATGGGGGCTGAAGAGATGGTGCAGGGCACTTGCTTTGTATATCACAAACCTGGTTTGATCCTCGCAGCCCATGTAGGACCCCAAACACTGAGACTAGCCTCCAGGTGTGACTTAAAAGCACTAAAAACAAATGACCTAAAACCCCTAATTTGTGGCAGGGAAAACAATCCGCTGGAGACAAGGAGTTCACAGGACCAGGAAGGGAGCTGGGGATCAGCTAATCTCTCCCGCACTTCCAGCTTAGAGGCTGCCAGGAGTGTCCTGGGAGCAGGGGCTCTGACACGGACCTTCCTTGTCTGCACCCCATGCGGGGCGCTCAGCATCATCTAGAGCCTTGTAACCTTCCCCCTACCTCCTTTCTGGGAGACTTGAGCTTTTCTTTGATCTGAAAATCAGCACACCCAGTTCCGCTCTGCCATCTCCCCTCCCCCCTTTTTTTGCAGGAGTAGCCATACCCAGCTGTGCTCAGGGATCATTTCCTGGCAGGCTTGGGGGGGGCCATGTGCAATGCTGGGGATCGAACCCAATCAGCTGCATGCAGAGCAAATACTTATTGTACTATCTCTTTGACCCCCTGTTCCCCTAGTCTCAGAAAAGGAAACAGGAAATCCCTATGGGCTGATAACAGGCTATGGCCATAGCTGCCCTCCCCCACTGTACAGAGGGAACGTCTGGCACTCTTACCCCATGCCAGACCTCAAGGGCATGGTGGGAACCCTCCCCTGCCCACAATGCCCGGGCTGCCTGCCCCAGACTAACAGCACTGGGGCTTTCAGGGAGGGATGGAGACAGCACTGAATATTCTAGAATGCCACTTCCCAGGCACACTTCCCAATAATTGAACCAGCAGGTTTGCCGGGACCCTATGATGTGTGGGGACCCATTCTCAGGCTGGAATCTAACACACACACACACACACACACACACACACACACACTCTCTCTCTCTCTCTCTCTCTCTCTCTCTCTCTCTCTCTCTCTCTCTCTACCTAGCTCCTATCCTCCACACCCAGTGCTCACAAACAGGCAAAAAACAAAAACATTTTTGTGACTATAGCCCTGGTTTGGGGGCGTTTGTTTTTTTTTCTTTTTTGGCCTAACCCAGCAGTGCTCAGGTATCACTCCTGGTGGGGCTAAGGGAACCATATGCATGAAACCCAGGTCAGTCTGGTTCTAGGCAAGAACCTTACCCACTGGGGGCTGGAGCGATAACACAGCAGGTAGGGCGTTTGCCTTGCACACAAGCCAACATGGCTGACCCGGGTTCGATTCCCAGCATCCCATATGGTCCCCCGGGCACTGCCAGGAGCAATTCCTGAGTGCATGAGCCAGGAGTAACCCCTGAGCATCACCGGGAGTGACCCAAAAAGCAAAAAAAAAGAACCTTACCCACTGAACTATCGCTCAGGGGTGTGAGGAGTATTAAGAAGTATGACAGGTATAGCGCACGAAGCATGAACTGTTACTATGGCAGGGACCCTGCACATTTCACGTTAGCCTCAAAATAGAAAAAAATTACAATTAAAACGTACTGTGCTCCAGGCACTAGACTTGTTACTCAATCCTTTGATCTCTTCTCTGAGGGTTGTTATTTTGTCAATTTTACAGACAACTGACACCAAGAACAGTTAAGTCCTTTGTCCAAATCATGGCTAGAGAGTCCAATTTTTGTTTCCCTTTGCGGCCACACGCCATGGTGCTCAGGGGCTGCTCGAGGCCCATGGTGGCAGAGATGGAGCCAGGCCTCCTGTGCACAAAGCCTGTGCTCGGCCAGCTGACCTCTCTCCGGCTCCGTGAGAATTTGAATTTGGACCCAAGCCTGTCTTGTAAAAGGGTGTTCTATTCTCATAAGCCACTCTTCTAAAGAGAGAAAAGACTTCTGAACGTGTGACAGCATCCCTTTCCAGCCAAAAGAGGGGCTGATCACTGGCCCTGCACTCACACTGGAAGTTCTCGGCGCGGCCGCTCCTCAGCATGATGGCCAGCACCAGAGTGAGCTGTGGCGTCGTCTCCAGGAACGTCTCAAAGAGCCGCAGCATGCTGATGTCCAGCGCCAGGAAGTCTGCGTAGGCCAAGTCAAAGTCTGAGGGCACCTCCTGCCGCCACACCAGGAAGCCCTGCCGCAGTCCTTGCAGGCACCTGTGCACAGATGCCCGAGGGGTCGGTTAGGGCAGTGGCAGCCCTGAGCCCTCCCGATCAAGTGGGCAGAGACAGGCTCCAACCCAAGCTCTCATCCTTACACACTGCAGAGTCTTGGGCAAGCTTCAGGACTTTGCTGATCTGTTTCTCTGTAAACGGAGTCAAACTACAATGACCAGGAACTCCCAGGGCTGGGGAGAGCCGACCGGGCCACAGTGGCTGACCTGCAGTGGCATGCAGGAGGTCGGTTCATCCCCAGCAATGCCTCCGGGTCCCCTGAAAACAACCAGCAGTGACTCCCAAACACCAAGCGGGGAATAACCCCTGAGCACACTGGATGTAACCCAGAAGCTAACAAAAAAGCTATTAACAACCATTGCTCCTAAAGGCCAGCGCTATCCTAAACTCACCATAAACCTTGTCCCATTTACTCCTTATGACCCCCTTTTACAGGAGAAAGAAGCCCAAAGGGCTAATAAGCAGTGAAATGTGTGTGTGTGTGTGTGTGTGTGTGTGTGTGTGTGTGTGTGTGTGGCTGGTCCACACCCAGCATGTGTGTATATGTGTGATATGTGTGTGTGGTTGGTCCACACCCAGCATTACTCAGGGGCTAGCTCTGTACTGAAAGGAACGAATATGGTGCGGGAGGGAGGAATGAGGCTGTGTGCAAGGCAAGTGTCTTAACCCCTGTGTTCTTCCTCTGGTCTGGAAATCAGACTTTGACTTCAAAGCAGTTTGAAAGTGCTTAAGGGGGAACTTTATTCCTTATGATCCTGTGAGGAAGTCAACAGGTTGCCAGAGGGCAACAAACTAGGTCCCAGCTGTGAGAGGAAGGAGGCTGCAGAGAGCAGGAAGAGGAAGCCAGTTCAGAGCCTGCTGCAAGAGTCCAGGGAGCAAGGGCCAGAGCCTGGCCTGGGTGTGGGGACCCCGAGCCCTGAGACTGCAGGGACAGGCCCAGGGTCATGGCATGAGGCAGGATACATCAAGTACCAAGGTGCCCTCTGGAAACTCATCTTGGCAGGCAGCTGGGGGGAGCCCACTCGCGCAGATCATGTTGTAGATGCTGACATCACTGCCCCGATACCCTTGGTAAGGACACAGAGGGGCACCCCCAAAAAGCCTCTGCTCTGGCTCCCCCTCAAACCAGGCATAGGCAGGAACAGACCCCACTTTCTTTTTGTCCTCTTTGATCACTGTTGACGCCTGGTGGTTCTCAGGGACTACTCCCAGTTCTATACTCTGGTTGGGGGGATCCTGGTTGGGGGGATCATGCAGGGCTGGGCAAAGCCTGTGCTCCAATTCTTTGAGCCAACACCCCCACACACAACCTCCGCCCTCCATTTTCTTTTCTTTTTTTTGTTTTGGGGCCACACCTGGTGATGCTCAGGGCTTACTCCTGACTCTGCACTCAGGAACCACTCCTGGCGATGCTCCTTACCCACTGTACTATCTCTCCGGCCCTCCATTTTCTTTTCTTCTTTGAAGTACCGTGGAAGGAACCCAGGGCCTCCGCATGCAAGACAAGCGGGCTACACTGGGCTCCAGCCCCAGGCCAGCAATGCCCTGATCCCTAAAACAAGCGAAGCTGTCTGACTTCTGCAGAAAGAGGTGCATGCTGGGTGGTGAAACCTGGGCATTGTCCCCCTCCCGGGACGAGATCTGAAGAGAATATACAGATGAATTCAAGCAAGAATGGATTGGGCTCTGGCCAGCCCACAGCACATCAGATTCCGGCACAGATGATGCTGGACCGTGGTTCCACCATCTTTCCATGCGCCTCTGGGGTTTTCTAAGACCAGGCCTGTTCCATCTCTGCCCGGGTGCTCAGTCTGTGGGTGTGGAGACGGGAGTGGGGCCAATACAGTGGGAAAGAACTCAGAGGCACTCCGCATGGAGGGATTAAGTTCTTCTGGAGTCCGGCTGCTTACAACCTCTGGGCCCTGGGCACTACAAAGCCAGTTCTGTGCTCACCAAGCACCAGGGAAACAGGCCAGTCTTGGTCTCAATTCACTCTTTTCCCAACTGAAGCAGGCCGCTGGTGATGCCCCAGGACAATGAGGAAACTGACCCTTGGAGGGGTCCGGCCACTTGCCCAAGGCCTGGCCCCTGTGAAGAGACAGTTCCCCTATGTGCTCAAACAGGGCCAGGAGCTTATCCCCTGCCCCTCAATGCCTCCCTGCACCTCTCCTCTGCAATGACGTCCTTCCTTGGTTGAGGAGGGGTTTGTCTCTGCAGCAGGGCTGGGGCTGGGGCCCCTCAGCCAATACTCATTCCCCAATCACACCCAGTCTTTGCTCTGCCCAACAGTGCTCAGATCCACTGTGCTCTTGGGGACTAAACCTAGGGCCTCAGGCATGCAGACCGGCACTCCCGACCTCAGAACTACCCGCGGCCACTCCGACGCTCCTTTTCATGGAGGAAAAATGAGGCACAGAAGGGAGGCCTGAGAGAGAGATGGTAATGAGATGGAAAAGTGGAACCGAAGAGATTGTACAGTGGGTAGGGTGCTTGCCTTGCACGTGATAGACCTGGGTTCAACCCCGGCCACCCCATATGATCCTCCAAGCCCCGCCAGGAGTGACCCGAGTGCAGAGCCAGGAGTAAGCCAGGAGCACAGGCGGGTGTGGCCAAAAAAAAAAAAAGGTAAAGCCGAAACTGAATCCCGGAAAGGCTCTGCGCTGACGTCCTGATGCGTCCCCTTCTCTGGGTCAGGAGGTGGGGGGTGGGGGGAGGTGAGCTGGGAGGGCTGGGGTAGGGGGCCTGGCGTTTCCTCTCCCCGCGGGGCTGGGACTCCCCGGAAGGGGGCGACGCCCGCCGGGGCGCTTTGCTCCCGGGGTGCCCGCCCCCTCCTCCCGCGGACGGGCGCTCACCTGTACAGGTACCCGAGCTGCAGCAGGTGCAGCAGCGCCAGGCCGGCGCGCGGGGGCTGCCACACGTGCAGGCCGGCGGGGTCGGCGCGCAGCCACACCCAGCTGAAGAGCTGCAGCGTCCCCGACGCCAGGCCCGAGAGCGCCAGCACCAGCGCGGCGCACACGTAGCTGCCGCTGAGCACATACCGGCTGGCGGCCCACAGGTCCGCGCCCAGGTCCACCAGGAAGGCGGCGGTGCCCAGGCCGCCCAGAATCAAGTCCCAGAGGAGCGCGGCGCGGGGCGGGCAGGGCATGGCCCGCCGGCCTCTCGCCGGGACACTGGAACCCGCCTCCGGGCCGGGGTCTCGGCGGCAGGAAGCGGGCGGGCGGGTCCGGGGGCCGGACTTCCCCGTCCCGCCCCGTCCGGGGAGGAGCGCGGCCGGCGGACCCCGCGGCGGCTCCGGGAGCCCCTGTGCGGCCCCGGGAGCCCATCTGCGGCCCCGCTGCAACCTCTGCCCTCCTCGCCCACCCCGACTCTCTCCCCGCCTCGAGGCTCCCAGGAGCCGGGGCGAGGGAGACCGACGGACCGGCCTGGGCCTCGTGGGCTTCGAATTGGCATTTGAGGCGCCTGGGTAGGTGCAAAACAAGAGCATGACATCCCAGGACCCCCGACGGCGGGACCGTGCCGAGCCAGGGCCGGAGCTGGGGAGATTCCCGAGCACGGGTCCAGCATGGACCTGCATTTCCTGACTCCTTTAACCCCCGACGGCCCCAGTGGAGGAGAGGAGGACGCTCAGTCAGTGCAAGAAGAGCCAATAAACTTGGTTTCCACATTAAAAGGAGTGAGGCGGATGAACAGCGGTTTGCGGGGGTGCAAGTCCAGTTTCCCAACCGGAAAGAAACGTCCTGGGGCTCCGTTTCCCGGTGGGCCAGGCCGCCGGGGCGCGCGCGCGCGGGGCGCTCAGGGCGCCAGCAGAGCGCGCAGCCCCAGCAGCGCGGCCAGCAGGGGCGCGGCGGCCAGCAGGGGCGCGGGCGCCGAGTCGCGCAGGCAGGCCGCGTACGCGCCGAAGGCCACCTCGCGCAGCGCGCACACGTGCTCCGTGCGGCACGCGTCCTCGCAGGCCCGCGTGTCGTAGCTGACCGAGTTGTACACGTAGTAGCGCTGCAGCGCGTCCTGGTCGCTGGCGATGCGCTGCAGCGCCTGCTGCATGGAGCGGGCGCTTGCGTCAGGCACATCGTAGGCTTTCGTCAGCCGGTACTCGAGTTCCCAGTGCGGCGCCCCTTGCGCGTTCGCCTGGCTCAGGTTCGCGTAGTAGGTCGCTATGTCCTGGAGAAGGGCAAGAGGCCGGTGGTGAGCCGCCACCCGCAGCACTGCACCCTGGATGTGTCCCCGGATTCTATACAGGTGCATCGTGAGGTAACTGTGCTTCTAAGTCCCATGTCACAGATGAGGAGACTGAGGTCTGCAATTGACCCAGCATCCTACAGGTGTGCCGAGGTGGGGTTGTATTTTTTCAGGTCCAGCAAGCTCCCAGGTAACAGAAGAGGCTCCGTAAACGTTTACAAAATAAGTGGATTAAAAACGAGGGCAGATGGGGGCTGGAGGGATGGCACAGCGGGTAGGGCGTTTGCCTTGCACAAGGCTGGGTTCAAATCCCAGCATCCCATATGGTCCCCTGAGCACCGCCAGGAGTAATTCCTGAGGGCAGAGTCAGGAGTAAACCCTGAGCATCGCCGGGAGTGACACAAAAACAAAAACAAAAAAGGAGGGCAGATGTGGAGTGCCTGGATTATGACAGCTGGGCCCTGGTACCCCTTCGGGGCTCAAATCCAGGAAGGATTTGATGTTCATCAACATATTTCATGTAAATATAAGCAGCTGTAGGTCCCTAGAGGTGAGGTCGTTGGAACGACCCTGCCAGATGACAATGTTGTGCTGGGCACCTTTTGTTTTTCTCCATCTAATCCCCAAAATTTTGTGAGGCTTGGCTAGGTCAGAAAGCTCGTGGGTGGGCCGGAGACACACTGAAGGAGCTCTTAGAGGTCCTGGCACAGGAGAAAGCTGACAAGCCCTGGTCCCTCCTGCTGCATGAAGCAGGTGAGGCAGAGCAGGGCATTGCTGCAGGCAGGGGGAGCAAAGAGGAAGTTGTGATCTAAGGCACAGGGACATTGGGGGGATGGGTGGTGGATCAGGGGGGTTTCATTCCAACATAGTGCTCCGGAACCATCAGACCTGGGAACCTGAGCAGGTGCTGCAGGCATTCTGCTGAAAGCCACATCCCTGGTAGTTAAGTATTGGCCTCAGGGCCAAGGCGATTGTATAGTTGGGGGGGCACTTGCCTTGCAGGTGGCCCACCCAGCTTTTATCCCCAGCACTCCATAGGGTTGCCCACCTAAGCCCGCCAGGAAGCCAGGAGTCAGCCCTGAGCACACAGCTGAGTGTGACCCCCAAACAAATATAAAACAAGAAGAGTGGGCAGGATTTACAGCTGGTCCCAGGGCTTGGCAGCTGTGCCCTTGAAGCTTGCCTGACCTGGTTTGTCTCCTGGTTTGTAGCAGGAAAGGTCTGGGGGGGGGGGGGGGTGGAAAAGCACTGGTATATCCGGCTCCCTGACACCCACTCTATCCCAGCCCCCTACCTTCAGGCTCAGTGTGGCTTGGTCATATTCAAACAGCCGGATTCCGGGATTGTTGGCTCCATTGACAACACCGGGTAATGTGGTTTTCCATGGGGAGACACCAGGTGCGAGGAACATGACGCTGATGGGGGTACCTTCCAGGAGAAAGACAGCAGGATTGAGGAAGGCCAGCAGGAAGGAGGGGGGCCGACCGAAGCCCTCCAGCCTGCTGAGTACCTGCATCGTCATAGAACATTCGAAAGCTGTCCGTGTGGTGGTGTCCAAAGAACTGGCCGGCAATGACACGGTGATGCTTGCGGACCACCTTCAGGTACTCCTCATTGAAGCTCTCCCGGAACCACGCTTTGTCCCGGGTCTTCTCAAAGAAGCCTGGGGGCACGTGCCCGATGATGTATACCTACAAGGAGAAGTGTTCAGGAGGGGCTCAGAGATTCCTCGGACCCTCACTGCCATCCCTCACCTGCCCCTCTCCCCAAAGCAAACAGATGGATGTAAATGTCTATGCTCCCCAAAGTCCTCCTTTCCCTCCCTCTTGCAGGCCCTTCCTGGCGTCCTCCTGAGACCCAGAGACACGTGGGTCGATCCCCAGCATCCCATATGGTTCCCCAGGCACCACCAGGAGTAATTCCTGAGTGCAGTAATTCTTGAGCATTTAATTCTTGACTGATGCTGCCACACTCCCTTGTCTGGACCTGTGCTACATCTACTCTTGTTTTATTTGAGAAGGATTCGGGGGCTACACTCCATGGTACTCAGGAGTCACACTGCCTGCCAAGCTTGGGGGAATTGCACCCACACACCAAGCATGCACTCAGCCCTTGGAGCCATCTGCCAGCCCGCTCCATGGACTCTGGAGAACACTTCTGACGCCCACTCATCTTCGTTTGTCTCATCAAGAATAGCATCTAATTAGTGAAGGGTTGAAACTTTTGTGATTTGTTTTTGGGCCACATTCAGCTATGCTCAGGGGTTATTCCTAGCTCTATGCTCAGGACTCAGGAATTACTCCTGGCAGTGCTCTGGGGACCCTATGAGTGCTGGAGATTGAACCCAAGTTGGTCACATGTGAGGCAAGAGCCCGGCCCACTGTACTATCACTCCAGATCCAAAGGGTTTAAACATTTTTTTGGCTTTTTTGGGGTCACACCTGAAGATGTTGAGGGGTTACTCCTGGCTATGCATTTAGGAATTACTCCTAGTGCTGCTCAGGGGATCATATGAGGTGCCAGAGATCAAACCTGGGTCCGCTGTGTGCAAGATAAACGCCTTACCCGCTGTACTATTGCTCCGGCCCAGATTTAAACTTTTAAATACTTGGCTGAGCAATGCTGGGCCTGATGTTTGGTGCTCAGAGCTGGTGACACTGTGCTGCTCATGCCTAGCAGTGCCAGGGCCACCAGGGCCCTGTGCTTGGGGTAGGTACTAAGTACCCCAAGCCGGGAGTACTTGGAGTACTAAGACATGCTGGGGATCAAACCTGGAGCCTCTTGCATGTTAGGCATGTGTCTCAGTCCTTTGAGCCAGCTCCCAGTCCTTCACTGGTGGAGTTCTGAGAGCTAAATGAGATCATCCTTAGCAAGCGCTTGGCAATGTGCCGGCTACAGAGTATGTGTTCAGGAGGTGACCCCCGACAAGAACAGAGAGAGGCAGAAGCTCTTACCATCTCCCTGGCTTGGGACGCATTGGTCAGCACAGCATCCAGCCACTGGAACTGGTGGCCAGGGTCGGTCATGCCTGCTGTCTGGTTGTTGCTGCTGTAGTACAGGTTGGTGTTGAGGACCACAACTCGCCCAGTCCTGCCTGGTCCTGATAACTTCTCCGAATAGAAGGCACCTGGGACATCACAGCCAGGCAGAATCAGAGGAGTCTCCTGCCTCAAGCACCTCCACTGCACTTCGCTCTCCCACCTTCTTCTTCCCTGTCTTTCCCCCAAGAGGGGCTTTGTGAGCATGACCAAAGCTTCTGGGATCAGGCTGCCCAGGTTCAGGTCCCAGCTCTATCACTTACGAGTTGTGCACCGGAGAGAAATTATTTAACCTCGCAATGTCTCATGTTTTCTCATCTGTATAATCGGAGCGATAGCACAGTGGTAGGGCGTTTGCCTTGCACACAGCCAACGTGGCAGACCCGAGTTTGATTCCTCTGCCCCTCTCGGAGCCCGGCAAGCTACCGAGAGTATCTCGCCCGCACAGCAGAGCCTGGCAAGCTACCCGTGATGTACTCAATATGCCAAACACAGTAACAACAAGTCTCATGATGGAGACGTTACTGGGCCCACTCGAGCAAATTGATGAACAACGGGAGGACCGTGATCGTGATAATCGGAGTAGCCAGGTATGTTTACCCCTCCAGATCCACAATCAACCCCTCCCCACTCAGCTGTCTGCCCTGCTCTATGCAGATTGCAGGCTTCTGTTTGGACCCCAGCAGCAGGGGAAAGGGGAAAGTGGGTTAGGATGTCTCTATCTCCAGACGGGTGCGTCTCACTGTGATTTGCCTCCCAGGGAATTGCTGGCAATGTCCAAAGACATATTTTGGCCACTGCAACTGAGGTGTTACTGGGATGTCGTGGGTGGAGGTCGAGTGCTGCTAAACATAGAGCCCCGATAACAAAGAACTCCGGCCCCCAATGTCAACAGAGGTGTGGTTGATGGCCCGGCTTGAACTGAGGGCACTGCCACTTTCTATGACATTTCAAGCATAGTATTATGTGGCCGAGATT